TCCAACCGAATTACCTTCTTTGAGGGATTTATATTCTTCGGCAAAAAACTTCTTTTGCTCTGATCTTATCCAGAAATTTTCTGCTTCTTGTAACTCTTCAGCTGTGAGAGTTCCTTGAATGTCGCTAGTTTTTCTTAATTTTCTAATGAAACGTGTTGTGCCAAGCAGTGACTCTTAACACCTTCTCTAATTTGCTATATTTTGATATGTCGAAAAGATCATCTGCACTTTTTTCGATTGTACATTCAAGTTGATGTATATCACCGGATCTCTTTCGGTATTCCAGCTTGTTTTCATCTATTGTTTCTTTAATATCTAATCTTGGCCAAAGTTCGTGAGGGAGTTGAAGCCATTGGGGACCTTGCGTCCAAATGGTCTCATTTATTAACTTGGAAATCTTCGTTCCCCGAGATACGAGATCTGCAGGGTTGTCGACACCTGGGCAATAATGCCAATCTTGAGGTGAACTCAATTTTTGTATTTCTTCGACACGATTCCTGACAAAGGGTTTGAAGGCTTCAGGTTGTTTTCTGGATCCAAAAATAAGTAATTGTTGAGTCTGTCCAAAAATAGCACGGAATTCTCAATTTCAGTGCTTTCAGAATATTGCTGACTAACTTAACTGATAACAATGCCCCCATTAATTCTAACCTCGGTAAAGTAAGGGATTTTAGTGGGGCTACCCTATTTTTAGAAGAGACAAAGGCCGTTTTGATTTCTTTATTTTCTGTCGTGAAACGTAAATATGCGACTGTACCATAGGCTTTGACACTTGCATCTGAAAAGCAATGTAGTTCGAGATTTTCGACATTAATGTTCGAGTGCATGAAAAGGTAACGAGAGATGGAGAATTCAGCCATTTGAGGTAGCTCTTCACACCACTTTCTCCATTCAGAGGACAAATCTTCAGGTAACGGTTCATCCCAATCTATTTGTGACAACCAAATCTTCTGTATTAAGCACTTTATTCTAACAGTGAAAGGTCCTAAAATTCCAATCGGATCGAATATCCGACCCAACACTTGTAGAAGAAATCGTTTTGTTTCTATTGGTTTAGATGTGAAAGACAATAAGTTCCGAACATCAAAATACAGTAAGTCCTTTGAATTATCCCATGCCATACCTAAGACTTTAAATGGGAAATTTTCTCTATTAAAATCTTCAGGATTTTCATCTGGAACGATACCCTTTTTTACCCACAATTCATGTAATTGTCTCGAGTTACTATGCCATTTGTGAAGCTGCATGCTTGCTTCCTTAAATATTTGGACCGATTCTAGACTCGTAGTTAATGCTTCATTGATCGTTGGTTGGCTTCCAATCACATCATCTACATATACGTTCTCATTCAAAAAGTTAACCGTTGTAGGATAAAGTTTATTATATTTTTTCAGATGATGTTTAATGGTAGCGGCTAATAGAAATGGACTACTATATTTATTCCGAATAAAACTCTAGTGAACCTATATATGTCAGGAGAAATGGTTTCATCATTAGGGAAATCGGAAAACAGAAACCTGGTTGCGTCTCGATCTTTTTCATGTATGAGAATCTGTAAAAAGGCTTGTTTTATATCTGCGGTGAAGGCTATTAGATTATACCGAAATCTTAACAATATTTCGAATATTTCAGGGTATAAATTTGGCCCAACATGTAGACAGTCATTTAAAGAAATGGATCCTGGGGCATGCGATGATGCATCATAAACAATACGTAATTTACTTGTAGCTCGATCCTCGCGTATAACTTCCCTATGTGGCAAGTAAAACACGACATCCTCTTCATTTGAAATTTCTGAAACTGGTTCGATAATATTTTGTTTTTTTAACTGATCTCTTAATACGTTCCTGTATTCGGAAAATAGATTAGGATCTTTTTTAAATCGTTTTCTAAGTCGATGAAATCTTTGTTCTGCGATTTCCCTATTATTATTTAGATTTGATGTGTCATGTTTCCAAGGCAATCTAACTTTATAGCGAGAATTTTCATATGTTATATTTGATTCGAAATATTCGACGACTTCATTTTCAGTTGAATCGAAGTTTTCCCTCTTATCAATAAGTCCTGAGTTTTCCAAGTCCCAAAATTTTGTTATTTGTTTGGAAATCAAATCTTCCCCTACAACTACATTGAAAGCTAAAGAGACATCATCATCACCTTTTCGTCCATGTAGGCACCAGCCGAAAATAGTTTCCACTGCAACAAGATTTTTGCTTAAGTATTTAACGTGTCCCATTACTATGTTGTAATAATAATCTGCACCAATTAGAATGGCAATGGGTTTTTTACAATCGGGAAAATCTGCGAGCAGCAAATTTTTTAATTGTCTGTTTTGCTTAATTTCTTCTGATTTAGGAGGTGGAATATCTGTACCTGATATATGATCAGTTACTAATAATTCAACTTCTATTCTAGAATCGGGAGAACTTCTATGTTCTAAAGTTAATTTAACTACGTCATAATTTTTTTGGATGGGAGAAGTATTCCCAAAAGTGTAGACAGTCAATTTTTCTTTTCTTATGACTTCGAGGTTTAATCTGTCCGCTAACTCGCGAGCACAAAAACTTTTCATACTTCCACTATCCAAGAGAAGTCTGGCAAACACCTTTTCCTTAGCTGTTTTAACTTTTATCGTGCAAGTCTGTAAAAGAATTGTGTTATTTGCATTATGTGAAACGGCCGAAACAATTTCTTCTTTCTGTTCCTTAGTTTGTGTATCATTTTTCGAAATTGATATACTATCCTTTTTATCACTTGGTGTATTTTTAACTATCGAACTGGATTTAAAACATATGGCTTCTGAATGTTTACCTTTGCAAATTTTACGAACTTTAGTTTGGCGTTGCCGGCACTGTGAGATTTTGTGTTTAGGGGCCAGACAAAGAAAACAACGCGCTTGTTTTTTTCAAAATATCTCTCTTCTCATTAACTGTAAGGCATAAACAGGACTCTGAGTCATGGTTTTGAAAACAAAAAATGCAGTTTCCATTTGATTTGATGACGCGGCTGCCATAAATTCATGTGTGGTGACAGTTTGTTTATGTTTCGGCGTCGGTGGATATCTGTTAATACCTTTCATTTCCGGGTTTGACTTGCGTGGAAAGGATAACGAATTAATCTTTTCTCGCGATTCTATTTCTAATCGGAGAAAGTCTAGAAATTTGTTTTAAATCATAGGTTGAAGGATTTTCAGTATTTGTACGATGAAATTCTAAAGTTATATCGTTCGGGACAATTTTCATCAAAATTGGAATAAACATGTTGGAATATGTTTCTGGTTTCACACCGAATGCTAAAAGGCTTTCTGACTTGAACGTTAATTGTATCATAAAGTTTTCGCAATTTTGCCACTTCACTTGAACTTTGAACGGGATTTAAATTTAAGAGATTAGAAATGTGTGTATTGATAATAAGGTCACTTTGACCGAATCTATTTTTAAGAATGTCTATAGCAGAGTCATAATTAGCCTCTGAGATTGAGAGACCTTCTATGGCTGATGCTGCTGCGTTTCCACATAAATAAGTTCTCAAATAATTAAATTTTTCTATCTTCGAAAGTGTAACATTGTCATGAATAGTGACCTTGAATGAATTCCAAAAATTCATCCAATCGTTATAATCTCCGGAAAATTTGTGAATTAACAGTTTGGGCAATTTCACATTGCCTTCAATCTGTCTTTTGGTTTCAACTTCTGTAGATGAATTATTTAAATTCGTGTTGATATTTTGAGTATTGTATTTCCTTAAATAACGGTTGATTTTAGACTTCGCTATTATTATTTTATCGTTATATTCCATAGAAGTGTTAATATCTGAATCTAATTTTGATTCATCTTCAATCAAATTTTGTATTTTTTCATTTAAATCATGTAGTTCCGTTTCTTTACTATTTAACAATTCCAAACAATTTCTAACTCTTCTGATTTTCTTCTTTTAAATACTCATCTACATTTTTAATAATTTGAGTTACAGAAGCACGTATATGTGCTCGATTCTTAATTAGTGTCTTCTGTTCCATTTTAATAAATTATCAAAGGAGACTTACCGTGAGAAGTCTTCGCTTACAAAGCTAATCCAAAAGGCGAAAAAAACACAAATTTTCAAATTAATCAGATTCTTTTCTGGGGCCGATGCACCATTATGTAACGAAAGTTCTAGATCAAAGTCGAATCACTCATAATCCAAAGGACGAGATGCATGGCCTGGAGGGTTTTCCATAAATTTTAATTAAACTTAATATTTACATATATACAATGTAGGCTAAAATGCCTGAATCGAATATTTAATGCTCAAGAGGCAAGAACTGAATAGTTCCAGCTTAAATGTCAATCGAATTCTATTGCGTAGTGCATCGAAATTCTACCTTCAAGAAGAAGAATATTTTTTCAAGTCACGTGTTCAGAAGGGGAAAGGTCAAGTAAGCCAATAGATGGACTCCTAACGCCATATCTTGGCGATATCAAAGAATATTCCTTAACATTTAGTACTGTATGTGACTGTGATAGATATATGAATGTGTGTTTATGTATAAATTTTAATTTTAATCAAAATGATGCATAAGGCTGTGAATAAGTAAAACTACTTGAGATCTTAGTGCTGCTGTGAACATACTAAATATACTGAAAGAATATGTGTAATGGATGACAAGAAACTTCGATAATCAAAGTAATTTGATACATATCACAAGTAAATATTCGTAGCAGGACATTTTTTTTTTTTTAAACTTATCCTGTATTTTAAAGGTAGCAAACAAATATTGCATGTATGTTCAACCAATAAATTACTTTTTTTTTTAATCTCTCATTATTTCTTAAATAGACATTTCTGAACCATGTAAAATTTCTCTCACGATACCTAATCATAGTCAAACCTGAATTTAAAATTAGGCTATTTATTTCAAGGCATCCATTATAGTAGTATCTATATGCTGTATATATTTCAGTCACATACCTGCAGTAGAAAGCAATAGTATAGAGAGTATATTTCAATTAAAGCTCTACCTGACAAAGTAATTTGCCCATGTCTGATAGTATTTTCCACCAGGTTGACCTTTTAGGCTTCCTTTCCCATTCATTGCATTATTTGTTTTCATCCATGCTGGTGCACTCCATGGACTGCCAAATAAAAGTAACTCATCCTTACTTAATGAAGCAGCATATCTGATATAAGGTATCTAGGGAAGAAAAAAACTGCACTCTGAAAGCTTTAAATTACAGTCTACACATCAAAGAATTTAACAATAAAAATGTTAAAACATTATAAAAATTAAAATAAAAACTATTCTGTAAGAGTTACATATACAGTATGCCTGCAAAGCTCTAGCTACAAATTCGTATGCAAATTATATTCAGTTCCTGCCTCTCTCTATATATATAATTTATTAGTATTGAAAAAACTACTATTTGGGAATAATCCTTAGACTTTGCTTATTACAAGCTTTTTTCTATAATGAAATAAGGAGTATTCAAGGATAACTTGTAATTTTAAATTCCAAATGCTCTTCAGCTAATTTTACTTAAATGAGGAAGAAAAAAAAAAAATATGTAGTCAAGTTTAATTTTCATTTTTCTTGAAATCACATCTTCCCACCTGATAATAATAATAATAAAGCACAAAGTAAATTTACCAAATTTCTGTCAATTTATTTAAGCAAAAATGAAATTTTTTACGAAGCACTCATTGACAAATTCTATATTAACACAATAGAAATTCAGGAACACAATTATCACTATGTAAGCATGTGAAATATTGTGAGAAATAGTCCGAGGGATGCTAAGATAATGAACATCGATTTCTATTCATTCATTGGAAGAACATGAGTTTGTTCAAGTTCACAAGATTGTTTAATGCTGCCTTTTTTTTTTAATCCTGATATTTTGTGGATAAATTTTAAATAATTAATTTAAATTTAGAATATTTTAAATTTCAGTCCTTTTTAATACAATGACAGATAAGAAATTCACTCATCATTTTACTGCTTGCAACGTTGAAAAACGTAAACACATTGCACTGACGGTAACGCAAAAAGTGCAAATTCTGCAAAAGATGAAGGCAGGTGCTACTCCTCGATTTATAGCAGAATGGTATAGAATTGCAACATGATTGTGTATGATATACGAAAAAATAAAGAAAAGCTGTTGAAATTTTACAGCAACAGTGATTCTAACACCGGAAATCTTTGCATGAGGCGAAAACGGCAAACCTCAATGCTGTGTACATATAATACAATGAATAATATAATCAATTTATACATGTAATAATAATTAATACATATAATAAATTATTGCAATAATGTATATAATAATTTAATTAAATGTATCTAATACACCTTATTTATTTTGTACTTTTAGTCTGAATATTATGCTTTATCTTTTCTGTCTCGAAATCCGCAAAATTCGCACAACCTCTGGTCCCAAGCTTTGTGGATTTCTGGACTTCTACTGTAATTAATGATCATATGATCAAATAAATGATCGTCTTGTAATGGTATAATAATTTTAAAAGCCACTGCCTGAAAATGCTCATAAAATTAATATATATATATCAGATATTGTTTAATTTTGCTTTATTTATTTCAAAGCTTCATGTACTATCAATCTTATTTAACTTTGCTTTATTTGTACTCAAATACTCAATAAGTTCATAAATTTTGTGGAGTTTTTACTGTTTTACCAAAGTAAAGATGTTTATACAAGAATTACGAGTGAAAAGACTGCGCAAAATGCAGTAAAAAGTGCTTTAGATATGTATTAAATCTTATTTGAAAAAACTGTGACTTTCATAATCACATCATTTATACAATGTATCACATTTAATAATTAAAAACAATTAAGTGATATAAATGTCATAGGTTTCAATGTTAAAGTAAACCAGACCGTCCCTACTTCTTCTTGCATGTGGGTGACGCGTGCCCCACCCACTGGGTTAGTCTATCTCTTATAAGGTCCTTGTTACCTGCACTACAAAGGATATTTTTTAATCTTATTTTTGTGAATTCCTGTGGCAACGCCAGTATACATATTCTAGTTCAGATAATTTTAGGAAGTTATTGGATGCTGTTAAGGAATTTTGTTTGACTGAAGACAGGGAAATTTGAACATAAGGTAAGTGGATATTTCTTTTGTGTAGTGCTAAGATGGATTTCCTTTTTTATGTTATTTTATTGCTTGATTTAAAAGGTTGTTTATTAAAATTACATATTTTTTGTTGGCTGCTCCTTTGACTTTTTAAGTGAATATAGATTGATGTGTACATAGACAAAGTTAAGAGAGTGCACAACGCCTAGTTTGTGCATTTCTGTTAGTGAAAATAGGTCGATGTGTACATGGATACCGAGTTTTTGCAATTCTTTGACTTGTTATTTTGGATTTCTGTAGCGGTGATTTTTGGCACAAAAATCAACCAAATTAAGTAATATACTTTATAAAGAAAATCCTCCTTAGCTAGTTGGAAGTATTTCAAGTCAAAATCATCAGCTACATCATCATAGGAGTATGGACGAGTTGAAAAATCACAGCTAGCAATAGGCACTCTCCCCATATTATACTGTAAACCTATACACAGAAATATGAACAAGAATTAAAGAGAAGGTTGTAAGAGAAAAAATATATATTCGGGGGAAAAAAAAAAGCAACTACACATAACCCTTTATTACAGTGAATTAAAATACAAAATTTCATGCATGAATATATCATGTCCTGCAATCATCATACAAAAATATTGGAATTCAAAAAAACATTAGATATTGCTAAAAATATTTGACTATATACATTCAAAATGCCTAAAAATTGTAACAATTGAAAAAAAAATTTATAACTAAAAATGTTAGCATTTGTCTATTGCCTACTATAGCATTACCATGAAAGAAAATCACCATCTTTGTGATAACCAAAGTTGACTGTTTATTAAAAAAACAATTCTACATAACACTTTGGGAAAACAATTCGTTCTTCAAGAAAGACATTTTATGTACCACAAACAAACTGATAGTGTGTATCAACACTAATTCCTTGATATGTGAAATGTAATATAAATTTTAAGTTCACCAACACACACACACACACAAACACCTTTTCCTTCATTTAAACTGAGAAAGTGGTAAAGAAGAGTTCATTCAATAACATTTGTAATTCTTTGTCTAATTTTGTTCGGAATTTCTGGTTGGCAGGAATATGGTTAGAAATCGAGAATCTCCCACGTAAATTGGGAGAGTAGACAATTCTGACTTTCCTTCTCTAGATTCAATTTCAGATTTAATTAAGAAACACTTTTAAATCCTTTTATTTATTTTGTGTTGGTGAGTTTTCATTAAATCAGAGTACGACTTTAACAAAACTTTTGTTCGCTGAGATTTAACTATATTTTCAGTTGGAAAACATATCTTTATTTTTATATTCCTTGGTATAGTAGTTGAGATGTTACAATTAAATAAATTATATGGCATAATTTAAAAATATTAATAACTTTGTACTTGGTACAAGGAACGAAGCATAAACTGCTAGCTAGTGAAAGTTTAGACATGAAATGGAGCAGTTTAGAAGCTCTGGTAATGTTCTTTATTATAAACTATTTGGTATACCTGTTAAAATATTCATTTTTTGGTTTCCTAATAAAATTAGATAAAACAATAATATTATTTTTGTAATATCTTTAAATTTCTACCAGAAACTGTATCTCATTTTGTATTGGGTCAGTCCATAAATTCATGTGCATTAAGAGTATGTGTGGAATTCACTATGATGCATTTACTAAAACAATACGATTTTGAACCTGTTGAAACTTGTCATCATTTGACTAACATATTATTCAGTTCATTACCAACTTTTGTAAATATGAAACTCATTTTAGTACCCACAGAAGATTAATATAGATAATCAGTACAAACGTGCTGTGCTACATTTTTTGTTTTCGTGTGGTGAATCTGCCAGGTTTACTGCAATAAAAATTAATAGTGTAAATGGTAAACACACTATTAGTGTAAGAACTGCCTAGAAATGGTTTAAAAAATTTAAAGTTGGAAAAAGCAGCATTATTGATGAACCCTGTTCAGGACGTTTTGAACTGTTAGAACCAAATCAAACGATTCATTCAGAAGTTTATAGTAAACAACTTTGCCGTCTAAACTCAGAATTGATGAAAAAACGCTCACGATTGGTGAATATCAAGTAAGTGTTGTTTCCTCATGATAACGCTGGACCGCATACGGCTCAAACAACACTGCAAAAAAATAGTGAATTTAATTGGGAGCTTTTGTCACATCCTGCTTACTCCCCAGATATTGGCCCAAGTGATTTTCACTTATTTCCTACCTTACAAAATTTTTTACTGGGAAAAAAATTAAATTCTAAACAGGATGTACACAATGAACTTTCAAGTTTTTTTGCATCAAAACCAGAGTCTTTCTCAGCAATGGCATAAAAAAGCTGCCTGTAAGATGGCGAGACATTGTAGATAATTGAGGAATTTTATATATAACTGATTAAAATGTTAAATTGTGTTTTTTTATATTATTTAAAAATTTACCAAAAAAATGTGCACAAATTTATGGACTGACTCAATATTTTACTCTGATTATAAGAAAATTATACAATAATTGTAAAATTTATATGACAATTAAAATTATAGAATTACCAGTTGTACACAGATTTTTATGGCTGATTTATTAAATATGTTTCTATCATATCAGTGGTTCTTTCATACTTTCAACTATAGTTTTCCATAATTTAGTATTCCTACTTTCAACCACAGTTAAGAAACAAGGGGAAACGGATCACAAGAAAGAAAAAAATAATGATTTACCATTATCAGAAAAATAACTCTGTAATATCTTTTCTTGAAGTTGCTCTGAAACTGATTTTATATTTATTCCAGCAGCATCTGTAAAAGCACCTCCAAAGCCAAGAATAAATTGACCCATTTGAGAATGATTTACAATTAAAACAGGAATATCTAAAATAAATAAATAAAATTCAAATATATAAAAAAACAAACATTTAAACAAAAACAAAACATTTCTTGTATGCATTTAACAAGTTATTTCATGATATTCAGATCACTAGTAACTTAAATATGAAGATGCCGGTATTTCACATTAGCATCTAAACACAATTTAACACTTTTAGTAACATACATTATGTATATTGAATAATACTATTTTTACTCAGAAATACAAAATATTACACTTGATTTATATTTATCAAATTTCAAAAATAATTTTTGATTTTTCTTAACAAAATTAAAAAAAAAATATTATATATATTATATACACTTATGGCTGCCGGTTTGGCCTCATTGGTGATGATAATTTAAAGCTCGTAAGAAATTTTAATTTTTTTTTTTTTTTTTTAGATTTGGAATGTATTATAGTAAAGTATTTACCACTAAAAATAAAATTTAATATACAGCATGTAGAAACTGTTAGAAATAAAGAGGAATTATAGCTATGAAATTCGCAGTATATTTAAATAAAATTAGAACATTATTTTTATTAAATCTTAGAGATAAAAAAATTTTATGCAGATAAAATACAAAATGAAAAAGGAAAATAAAAAAAATCTCATATTTTACAATCACTTACTCTCTGATATGAAATATCTTTACTGTCTAATGACTTTGAAATTTTGATTTCTAAAATCTATACATGTGTCAAGAGTTACATGGAGATTTACAGCTTTTATTCTCTTTAAATAGCTATCGCAAAAACTAATATATCTAATTTTCTATTTCAGAACTTTTAATTTTATGACATCAAGCCTTTACTACAATAATGCATTTCAGGTCTATTTGTATTAGAAGAGATGTTTTTATTCAGAAATTATTAAAAGAAAAGAAACAATAAATTATTAAAAGAAGTTTGTTAACATTCATATCAAACATAAGAAATTAATGAGAATCTCATAAAACCTATCCATTCAATCACTGAAACAGAACCACAGACTACTATTAAATTAATTTAGACATTCAGCCATTGGCGAGCATTTGAACGATTTCTAATATGCAGCATGTGAAAGATGTACAAAAAATTACGATTTTTTTTTGTTCCAAATAAATGTAACATTTTTCGTTATATGGAATTTTCATGGATTAAAAGAAAAAGACGTAGCGATGTTGTTGGGTATAGAATGTAAATCCGTATTAAAGAATAATGATTGCACAGACTACTGAAATGCACACGTTTTATGAATTTAAGATTGAAATTCAAAAGCAACAATACAAAATATACATAATTGACACAGAACATTGAAATTAAACTTACCAAGAAAGAAAGAAAGGCAAAAATAATGAAATTAAAAAGTATACACTTATGGTTGCTGGTTTGGCTTCATTAGCAAAATAAATTAGTGATTGTAAGTTAGAAATTTCCCAAATGATGAATTAAAGCTTGTAAGAAATTTTCACATTTTTTTAGATTTGGAATATATTAAAGTAAGAAAAAGAAAAGAAAAGTTAGAAAAGAAAAAAGGAAGAGAGGAAACAAAGGTTAGAGAAGAATAAAGTCTTCACATCATGGCTTATCATGTTGGCTTAGAACAGAGTAGGCCCTCTATTAATAAAAGCACAGTCAAGAAAAAATGTACAGTAATACAAATATATGCAAACATACACTGCAAAATCCCTTAAAACATCTTTCTTCATCCCTTTCTATTTGAACTTTCAGATAAAAAATTAAAAACTTTAAAAATTTTTATAGGGTGTAGACTACTCCAGCTTTTTTTAGTAGCTTGTTAATGAAGTTAATTGGAATTCCATTTTCTTGTAAAATTTTAGCATGAAGAATTTCTTTCAGTTAGAAAGATTTTATAATATATTTTTGTATTTGTAAAGGGATTTTATAGCATATGTTTATATGGTACTTTTCCGTTTGGCTAGCGCAATTTTCCATTTCGCCAGCGCAAGCGATAAAGTTGCCGAAAATGGTACAACCAATGCCAAACCGAATATCCTCGCTGATAACCTTTCATGCCACATTTTCAAAATAAGTCGCTGTTATTTCTTATCAGATTACTCGTTTCTTTCAATACTGGCATACAGTTACATAGAATTTTTTTAATTATAATATAGAAATAGACCTCCTTCCCCTTAGGCAGCTAGCTCCCTGTATGCTATAATCCTTAAGATGAGGAATTTTTAATCGTATCCAAAATGAGTTAATGGCAATAACAGGTTTTCTGCTTGATGTATCAAGTTAGTACATATCTCTTTCTATAGAAAATTGTTTGCTCTGTCTTGCTTTATAATGAAAAATTATTCAAATCTGTTTGTTCTATGTTGCTTTATAGTGATAAATCATTCAAATCTGTTTGCTCTATGTTGCTTTATAGTGAAAAATCATTCAAATCTGTTTGCTCTAAAACAGATTTGAATGATTTTTCACTATAAAGCAACATAGAGCAAACAGTATTTTCAATATTAATTACATTATCATCACAGATATGTATTCATAAATATAATATACCCCAAAACAGCTACTAATGCTTGTGATTAATTTTCATATGAAATTTTGGGAAAAATATATTTCAGGCTACCCCCTTGGGGAAAATAGGCAATTTTTCTTGCGCCATTCCTGTATATATGCAACGCCCTCCCATGTAAAATAGCGTCCATAACAATGCAATAAAACATTAAAAAAATATAATCTCAATAAACTGCATTTTAAATCAAAATAAAATAAAGAAATAACATAAAAATGGAAATATACGTTATCTAATCTGCGCAGTACAAAAAGGCAATATCAACTTACATTATTTACAAATTTCTGTGTCTTCGGTATGTGGCACAAAGAATTCCTTAACAGCATCGAAAACGATGTTAAATATTATCTGAACTGAAATCTGTATACTGTCATTACCACATAAACTCACAAAAGTAAAAATCAAAAACATCCTCAATACTTTTTGTTTCGAAAATACCTTTTTATTACACCCCACATATCTTCCATAGTGTTGATATGAGCTCTGGTTTTTGAATCCTTAAATGTCACTGCATAATTTACTGAGAGGTGAACGAAGCCCTTTAAATCTTCATTTACACACCAGTCAATCAATGTTTTCTTTCCTATTTATTTCCTGGTTAATCTTACCACCGGCAGCCATTTTATGGTGTAAAGCACAATATAAATAACGTACTTCCTAACCGACATTCAACGCAGAAATAAACCCTGAGAAATATTTTCCCAACAACATACTTGCCAACCTATGACACTCAAAAATCAGGAGATTTTTTTAAGAAATCAGGAAATTTTTCACAATGTTAAAAAGACTTTTTTAAATGATAAAAATGTAGTTTTTAATAATAAATTAACTTTAAATAGTAACTAATTCTTAAATGCAAGCAACACAAAAATACCTTACACATAAAAAACATTTTTATTACTTGCATCGTCTAAGAAAAAAAAAAAAGACACTTGAATCAGTTTTCGTACAAATGATATAAACAGCAGCAGATTTTGCTTTCTTTAAGAAAGGAACTTCATAATTTTGTTCACAGCAAAATTATGTAGGCCTGCTTTTGCTAATAAAAGTTTTTCTAATGTGTTATCACTAATATTAGATCTAAATCCGAAGTATTGCAAAAGTCCTCGTTTTCGCAACAACACTGAGAATCCTCTCACACTCTGCATTACTATGGGGAACTGTCAAGATGGCCAACACAATTCTAGACAGTTCACTGTATTTTAAAATTCCATCAGCACCTTTCAGTTTTCCAATTAAACTCCACTGGGTGTCAATCCTAGCTGATTTTATAACTTCATCCAAGTTTTCTAATTGTAAACTGCTGTTATGCAGCTGTTGGAACTGTTTCAATTTTTCCTTCCTTTTAGAACTCCTTTCAAGATAATAATAAATATCAACAATGTGTTCATCCACATATATTGGTAAAGAAGCTGCCCCTTTTTCAGCTGCTAAATTTAAGAGGTGACAGGTGCACCTCATAATCTGCAAATCTGAATTTTCCTTTCTTAAGATGCCTGCAACACCAGTCTTCCAAGCCTACCAATACTGGTGCATTATTGGCACCAAGTGCTAAGCATTTATCCAGAGGGCCTGCATTTTTTTTTAAATTTTAATAATTAGCTGTGCTATATTAAAGCCTGTCAAATGTCCTTCTAAAGTGGGAACAGAAAGTAAACTGCACTCAATTTCTGAAGACTCTTTATTAAAAAAAGAAACAACAAATGGATACAGTTTTGAATCCGTATTATTGCTTCCATCCGTAGAGAGGCAGAACGGAGCTGTTTTAATGCAATCACTAACTGAAGATTTATTTTTCAAACCCATTTCTTTAACAATTGCACCTGTTTTGATTGTTGTACTTGAGTATTTCTTAGCAATTTCACTATCGGGAAACATTTTTCTAAATAAAGCTGCAGTGTGATCCGATGCATTCAGTGGCAGGTTGTGCTCCAATAAAAAGGCAGAGAACAGACATTCTGCATTAATAACTTTTTGGTCCTTTGTTTCCGAAAAAAAATTTAATTTTTCATTTTTTTAAAAACAACTCATGTTATCCTTGTGTTTTTGTGTACGCACATGTTTGAGAACATCCACCCTTCCACCATGCGAAATCGAAAAAATCACAACGAACAGGGCAGTACACATCGCAAATTTATTACATTTCTTTAAGGAAATATGGATGGAAAGTCAACTGTGTACGATTTTTGAAATGTACACAAGTATTTCACCTTTGTCGCAGACATAACTAAAAGATGATAATTTCTTAAACTATTTCCCGAAGGCACGTGTTCTCACACAACTCAGGACAAAATGAACGAAATAACTAAAGAACATTCAAATAACAGCTTGCTTTATTCCTCATTGGCTAATATATGCCAGCTGACATGCAGTGGAACTCCATGCCCATTGGAGAACTGGAGAACGACGTTTCTGAATACGTATAATGCTGTCACTCACAAAGCAGAAGTTATCTGATTCGCAGGGTTTTGTTTTAGATATAATGTAGAGAAAATTCAATTGCTTTCAGACGTCCAAAAGCACTTTTTTTTATTCATATAACAAAGTATTAAGCCAAGTTGCATAAAAATCGTGAGAAATTTTAAGAATAAAGAAAAGTCAGGAGAAATTTATTCTAAATCGGGTTGGTGGGAGAGCGGTTGAAAATCGGGAATCTCCCGCTTAAATCGGGAGAGTTGGGAACTCTGCAACAATTAAAATCACCAATATCACACATTACAACCAATTATGTCATAATAGGGTTTCCAAAATATTCAACGTAAAATACTAAGGTTACCATAAATGAAGCAACAACTTTGCGATAATCTAAAAGGTACCCTAAAATATAGCCTGAAATTTTATATTATTCAAATTTAGATCATGATTATTTACAGCAAAACAGTTGAGGACTATATGCTTAAAAGGAGATATGCGACAAAATGTTTAAAGGAAACCAAGTTGTATTATGTTACGCACGGAGGAAAACTACAAAAGCTCCCCTGCAATCAGCCCATTTGGCACAAATTGAGCTTAATTCAAATTACCAGTCTTCAGTGATCTTACCAATGATGAGTTATCCATACTCGTAAAAATGCTTATGTATTATAAAGAAAGAGAGAGAAAAATTTACAAAAATATAATACATTCCTTTGCTTTACACATAGTTTTCTTGTATATGCAAAACAATATTAGAGGGATATTAATTTATTTTCTGATTAGAAAACACTCTTTTGACTAATTTTTTGTGCACAAAATATCCATATACTTATTCTTTTTAGCTTACATTCTGTTAATTTTAATAGATTTAATATTGATAAATTTCTTTCTAAAAGAGAATCAATAAATGCATATTTTTCCATTAGATTTTAAAAGTGTGCTGTGTCTCAAATCTTAATAAAATTTTTTTTAATACAAAAATCTCCATAAATTCTCTTTACATATTTATTTATTCGGTTTAATTGAAGTTTCAGAGTTGAATATCTTCTTTTCGACATTTAAGAAGTTTTTACATGCAAGTTCCCATTTATACTGAATACTGACATACAAGTTAAAAAAAATCAAGCATGCTGAAAGAAAAGTTTTAATATTTGAAAATACAATAAGGAAGAATATACCAAAAACTGCTGTATTTGAAATATGAGAGCAAACAAAAAGGCTAGTTGCAACATTTTATATTTTTTTCCTGTGTTTGACAAATCAGAAATAGTGAACAATATCTAAAACAAAAGTAAAATACTTAATTGCATAATGTATGATTTATTAATAAACATGTCTTCCATTACAACTCCGATTTTTTTCCTATGTCTGCTGAAATTTGGCAATAAACTATAATAACACGCGATTCTATCCGATTTTCATTAGTATAAAATAGCTCAAGGCAAACAATTGTAAAATGATTTATCTTCATTAACAAGCTTCTAGTCGGCAGAAGGATAATACATACATAGTGTGTTTTTTAAGTAAGGGCTGTTTCGTTGTATACACTGATAGATAGCATGCATGCCACAATGAGTGCTTGCATCGTGTCCCGGCATTCCTTGGAAACAACTGTGCTCAGTTGCGGCTGTGCAGGTAATCTGTACGGTCCGTTCTGTGTCTTCAAAATGTTCAAGATTATCGAATCGCCCGCCACATGCGAGGTACGGTCAGTGATACGTTTTTTGTTGTCAAAAAACCTGTCTGCTGCAGAAATTCACTAGCAGATTTGTGAAGTTTACAGAGCTACTGCCATGAGCAAGAGCAAAAGCAAAGTGCATAAGTGGATGAGAGACTTCAAAGCTGGCCACGACAACGTCCACGGTAAGTCCCGCTCCGGTCACCCATCTGTGATCACAGATGATATGGTGGCTTCAGTTGAAACGAAATTTCTTGAGAACAGACGCATCATTTTAATCACTCTTTCAAACAAATTTTCTGAGCTGCCTAAGTCAGGGCTGTACAAGATTGTTTCTGAAAAGTTAAGATTTCAGAAACTGTGCTCCCGTTGGGTCCTTAAACTCCTAATGGAGGACCACAAAAACAAAAGACTTGAGTGTTTGCTGAATTTTTTTTTTTTTTTTTTTAAATGCAGAAGGTGATGGCATGTTGAGTCGGATCGTAATGGGAGACGAAACATGGATTTCACATGTCATACTTAACATACACACTCTTTCGTAAAGATTAAGGCCAAACAGACTCTGTCCCAGTGAAATATCATGACGTCTGTGTTTTGGGATATTCATAGTGTTTTGTTTAACTTCATGCAATGCAGAAACACCATAAATGCAAGTTATAGCCAAACCCTGTGAAAACTATGCAGAGAGATTCAAAAACAAAAGACATGGCATGCTGACAGAGGGAATATTGCTACTCCATGACAATGCAAGGCCTCGCACTGCAGCTCAGACCTGAGTTTTATTGGATTATATTTTGGCTGGGTAGTTTTGGATTGCCCCCTACAGCCCACACCTTGAGCCAAGTGACTTTTTTCATCTTTTCTGCTATCCCAAATGTCATCTCAGCGGCAACCACTACAACGATGATGAAAACGTGAAAATGGCTGTGACCTCTTGGTTATTGGATCAGGTGGCAAGTTTCTATGAAGAGGGTATTCTAAATCTAGTTATAAGGTATGATAAGTATTTAAACAAATTTGGCAACTATATTGAAAGATAGAGAAGCATGTGTAGAATCTGAAAATAATTTGGTTTTTGAAAATTTCCTTTCATTTGGTTTTTATTTTCAATCAGCCCTTACTTAAATAACATCCCTCCTATCTGCTGTCTGACAATAAGATAGAACTCGCAAGGCTCTTTCGCAAAGTATTCTATTAAAACAGACTTCACACCCTATTCAGAGTTTTGTGTCATCATCTTTGACCAGAGCTTTGTTACAGCTATCTTTTGAAATGTAAGGACAAGAAGACTAGAATGTATCATCTGAACATGTCTTAAACATTTATGGACAGTTTGGCCTCCACGTATACACATGTTAATAATTTTTCAAGAGATTTCAAGCTCGTGTAAATGCTTTTAAAGATAAATTTTAAATGTTTAACTACATCTTAAGCAGTTAATAAAAGAGATGACAATTTTTGGATAATACTGCAAGACATTCATGATGCATATGGCTGAATGCCTCATAAAAATGTCCCTTTTAAAAGAAACTCCTGCTTTTTTTGTAAAAAATCAGAAAGCATTAAAATTTAATAAAATTAAAGATTTAATAGCTTATTAATTAGTGGAATTATTTTCATTTATGCACTTATAATTAATCGTATTTGTTTTCATAATTAAAAATAGCATTTTAGTAGTACCATCCAAGAAATAACTAATTAAAAGTGGTAGATTGTATAGCAGGTGATTGACTATAATGTAAAGAATGAAAGAATAAACATTATTAGAAATGAAGAAATTCAATTATAAATAGCATTAAAGAACAACATTTACAAGAGAACTTGAACAATGTCATCAGGTTCACCGAGAAGTTAGTCAGAATTTTTTAGGCAGGTTCCCCTCTCCCTCCCAGATCAATGATCTAACCTCAAGAAAGGTGATCTAACAATGTTTTTATATTCTGGATTACATACTGTTGTGGACAGGTCTATATACTACCATGTTCACAGCTCTCCGACATATTTTTTTACCATTTTTGTAAACAGATTTGTTTTATGCTTGATTCCTTAAGGATAAAGACAGTTAATCTAACTCCAGTAAATCAAGAATTAACTACATCATTTCAGAAACCATTAAACAGTATTTTTTTTAACTGCACAAATAATATTAGATATTTTTATAAATTATGTCTACGGCTTTTTGAGATAGATATAATTTTCTGCTTAAATCAGTTTTCAATTACAGATAAAAAATAAGAATAATAATACCTGGAGGTTTAAATGATGAAAAATTTAAAAATGAAGAACTAAATCTTGCTCCAGCTTTATTAGTTTCATACAACACAGCTTGGTTATCAGGCACATTGTAAATCAGAGTTAAGTCATCACAATATGTTTCATTACATACGCATACAATATTTTCATTCTGGAAAACACGAGCAACACAAGACGCACACTCTAAACCTAATAAAGAAATGGAGAAAAAGTAACAATAATTACAAAAAATCTTAAAATGAATTTTTAATTTATTATATAGATTAGTTTTGGAACAATATATTCTACAAGATGCTCAATTCGTAAAAATTTCAGCAATAGGATATCGAATAGAGAATAAAACTGTTTTCCTACATTTAAACCAGATAAAATTTATTAATGAAAATTTATAGTGTCAAAATTTCCATACTATATCACACATTTTAATTATTTATATAATGTGAATACATGAATATATGCGTCCATATGTACATACATACATGCATTCCTGAATATAGTCCCGATAATAGAAGAGTACCAAATATTTTATGATTAGTCATATAAGTCCACAGGCATTTTGAGTACTATTAACAACCAAGAAATTAGAAGTAAATCATATCAGTTAATTAGAATTAGAATCTTAATTAGAAGTCAATCAAGTCAATGTTAATTAGAAGAAAATCTGATTAATTTTTGAAAAATTCTGATAGATAACTACTTTGATTATACAGGTAGCTTTTGAAAGCTCGGCACATTACGAAAGAAACAAAAACAAGTACTTATGTGTTGTCGCAACCATATTAGTAGAAGTTGTCAAATTTTTAGAATGTGCTAAACTTTGGCACCCATGTGCATAACCACTCTTCAGGCAACTATTCTAATAGGAATCCTTCATTCAAGCAACATCGCCATTTTTGTATGCATTCTTTTCATTATGTTTCACGTTCCAGCAATTTTTATAAACAAACTGTGATATTTTTTGCCTTAATTTTAGTTTTAAAATATGCACTTGTTTGACATCAATGAAAAAAACTTCAGTAAAATTTCTGCAAGAATACAGAATTTTGACATAAAATCTCTACAGGAAACAACAAAGAGATGTGTTTGGTAGATACCCAGTGTAGCTGAGGTTTGTGAAATGAGTCTCTGCCTTCCTCTGATGTTTTTAAAGCAATCTCAGATCACTGTGTACTCGGGAAAGAGAAAATAAAATAAAATAAAATAAAAATAAAATAAAAATAAATAAAAAAAAAATAAAAACAGAAAGATTTGGAGAAAAATATATTTTATATTTTTTAATGTATCATGAAATCTTTATTTAATAACTAAATTCTGTAATTAAAATTTTAAAATTATGTTGATAATGTTTGTCACCTTTAATAAATATCATCAAATATAGTATGATCTATAGACATAATATTCTGCCATACCTCATAATCAATTTAAAAAGTTATAACTGATACTGTGCCATACTTCTTTAACAAATTAATAAACATTTATAAAAGTTAAGCATTTCTTCTATATATATAACTGCTTTTTTCCTTACTTGAACACAGCAATGTTAAAAGCAATAACCTATAAATTAACATTGTGAAAACATCAATCAATAAGAGCCAAAAAATAAAGATCCATGGAGATGACAGAAAGTTAATGTTTTTGAAAAAAGAGTATCACATGTGAAGTAATCTCATCCTGTCATATGATACGCTATCACCCTGCTTAATCATATTTTTCACTCAACGTTATCAAACATTAGCCGCTAAAATTCAAATTGTTTACAAAGTAGAGATGTCATATTTTGCATCGGCTACGTCTTTCTGCTTAGGACAAAAAGTCAAGCTTGCATTGTAGAGGGAAAATGGCAAGGTTCTTTAATAATGGTAAAGTACATACAAGGACGTTAGCAAGCGGATGAAAATAATTATCGGATATAGAGTGTACTGTTTTGTACCCTCTTTGTCCACATTTGCTTTCCTTCTTTTCAGAAATTAATCATGTTGAATACTGTATATCAATTTCCAATCCATATTATATTATTATTTCATTGGTTTGCTTTTTTAATGATAAATTTACTGATGGAAATATTGCTCGAATATTTGATAAAGTGAAATATATATAATATGTCTCGTGTAGATGAGGAGGTTTTTATATTCAGATGAGGAGGTTTCTCAATTGAATGAGGCCTTAATTACATTTGTCGTAAAAACATAAATCCTGGCTGTCAAAGTCACATGTCTAAAATGAAAGTTGTTTCAGTACAAGGTCCGTTCTTTCTACGGACCTTGGTTTCAGTAATTTCTTATCAATGTGGCAATTCCAAGTAGTCATGTGCTGTCTGCTGAACTTCTAAAATAGCTGTGACAACCGGCAACTGTGTTTACTGTGTCATATGATTCTTAGTGTACTCCCTGACGTAAAATTTTCTTGTTCAGTATATTTCTTATTTCACTCATAGCTGGTGATTAAACATCATTTATTTTATTCTTCTGTATTTTAATTTTTGCGCAAAATGAAGCTGTATATTGGATTAATGTTATTATGCGCTTTCGAAACTTTGCTGGCTAATCGATTACACAGGTATTTATTTTCTCAGTGTAGAAATATTTCACATGTATTAAAAACATTCTATGTATTTTGCTTATAATTAAGTGTACATTTATCCAAAATTATCGTTATGGGAAAGAAAAATGAATTTACTGAAAGGAATTAATCGGTTGTTTCACATCTTTGGATGAAATGAAAATGTGGTAAATATGTGAAAAAAAAGACATAAAACGGTGTTGAAAAAAATATCTATCTGAAAAGCATTTTGCGTATCATAAATTGCTTAATAAATATTTTAACTGTGTTATTTAGTCTCTTACTTAATTTTTAAAGGTTTACATACGTTGTACATCGTGGTCAGTTTTCTGAAATTATTTTCGATTATTACTATTAATATCTTTAAATGAACAAGAATGATATTCTTTGTTAGTATTTATGTTCTAGTTATTGTGTTATGGAGTTCTGAAAGTTGTGTTATTTATGCAAGATTTTTGTTATCTGTTAAGAAAACAAAAATTTTATTAAAGATAATAATGCATTTGAAGATAATATAATGCGTTTGATAATTGTGACATGGAATCGGTTTCAAATAGGGCTAATCGTTCGGAATATGGGAATTGTAAATGAATGAATGAATTTGAATGGATTTGAAGATCTTGCCGATATCGTTGAAGAGATTTTGCAATCATGTGCGGATGCACAACTTTTTTCATCATAAAATACCATAAATTTGGAAATAATCTACTGTATGCTGTTTTCTTGATGGAAGTTTCAAATCGTAATCACTTAATTTGAAAATGAAAAATACTTATAGAAAAAATGCAGTAGTAATAGTTAATTTATATCCCTGCTGATAAAAGCAAAATACGGTTTATTGAAAACAAATTGATCCGTGACTTGCTTTCATCGATTTTTTATTATTTTGTTAAGCTCTCTTATTTTACTGAAAGCTTTGTTGAGAATTCTGTGATAACAATGAGTATAAACTGCCTGGATTTATGTGTTATTTTAGCCAACCACCTTAGTAGAAGTTGTCAAATTTTGAATAACGTAGTCCTCCACCTGGACATGGGTACCTGGAATCTCAAATTTTGAATTTGTTTTATTGTCTATTTCATGTTTTGTAAAACATTAATGAATTTTTTATTAAAAGAAACTCGACAATTTCAAAGCAAGCAGTGGCTACACTGCAGGGAATAAAACATTTTTATCTAAAGCACACAAGACTGTCTGTCAAAAATTCTAAAGATATGCTGTTTTTAAATATTTTTAGTACAATGTAGCATTATCCCAAATGCTGTCACGACATGTATGTGTCAAGAAATAATAATAATAATGCTAATAAAAAAAGCCCTTTTGCATGTAATACAATATCTGAAAACCTTTTTTTTTCGCAGTTTCAAACTGGATTGCTGTATATTTAGAATGAGTGTCTCAATATACTAAACATTAAAAGTTAGTTCTCCATTGCAACACAAATTTTAACAATTCATGAATACAAGTTCCCTGCATCTAAAACATTGTCATTCTGACCAAATTAGAATTTGAATTGTTTCGTATGTACTTATATTTTTCTTTTTATATATTTATTTCTGATAGTAATTTATGAATACTATTGTATGCATCTAATTATGTGCAGTAATATCTGTGGTACTTGTTAGCTATCTGATACCTGCTAACACATCACAAATAAGCTATTGGTGATGGAATCTTTCTTTATTTAACTTTTTTGTAGGTATTCGGCTATTGCATTCAAAATGGCATCAAACGTATTGTTATTCTATGCAGCTTGTATCGTATAAATTCCGATGAGCGAGAAGGCAAGTCATCATTATCATTATAAGGGCACAGCCCCGATCCTCCTAGCTGGCACATGCGGGCCGTATGATCAAAAAATAAGACTGGCCAGAAAAAAACAAATATAAGAAAAAACATATAAAGGCAAGTCGTGACAAACTGTGCCATATTACCACTTGTATTTTTCCATTTTGCCAATTTCTACCTGTGTTGCATTGTTTGTGTGTCATTATCAGTCTCAGAATCAAAATTGACATTGAAATAATGAGGAAAGGGGCCATCTACCTATTTCCTTAGCTTAAAAAAAAAAAAAAAAAATAATAAGAGAAATAAACAAGAAAAGCAGAAAAAAATGTGGAACAGCTTGCAAGGTTATTTAGTGCTTGCAAGATTTGGAGTCGGTGGTGGTGTTTTTGTTGTTATGTAAGTGGGTGCCAGATCTCTAATAAGTACCATATCTTTTCAGGTGAGTTTTTTTCATTATTATTTTTTTTTTATGTACTTCTAGAATTTCTCTTTTTCGAATGCAATCTGTTCGGCAACATCTACTTGAAGTTAAAACACCTGTTAAAATAGCTTTGCCCAAGAATAGGTTTCTCAATGCTGGTCCATTTCCTGAGCCATTGTCTAATTACTTAGATGTAAGTATTATTGCACTTGCATATAAATTTTATCTGGTTATAATGAATGTTATCTGCCAAAAAAACATTCGGTTAATCTTCAGATTATGGTAACTTGGCGAAAATTTGGCGACCAACCCTGCTATAGCAACCTGCTAGTTGTTTTTTTTTAACGCCATTTTGTTTTTACGAAGTGAAGACATTTTTTTTTTTTTTAACTCAACATTTTTTCCAACAATCTGCTAGCCGAATTATGCTTATGCTAGAACTTTCATGGAACAAAAGTGCTTAATCATGACGAAGATTAGGTGCAAAATTGGGAGAAAGTGCAGAATCGCCCACTGCTTGCCGCGTTTTTAGGAATTGCACATACACGGTATCCACCTACACGTCGACCTATTTTCACTTAAAAAAAATCCCAGAATTGCAAAAAAATGGCATTGTGCACACTCTTGACTTTATCCATGTACACTGCTAAAGTCCTAGCTAGTAACCTTTATTGCCTTACCAAAATGTCGCCAAACTACCTGTTACCATATTCCAAAGATTAGCCAAACATTCTTAATAAAGTAAGAAAAAAAAAAAAAAAAACGAAACAAATACTTTAGTGTGGGTAGTAATCACCACCCACATCTATGATTTTCTGCCAATGTTTTGGTAGTTTTTCAAAGGCTTCAGCCCAGAAACTTGGTGGCTGCGAGTCCAAAAATAGATTAACCTCATCTATGCAGAATGGTAGATAGCACCAGCAAGTAGCTGCAACTGAGAAAAAAGGGTAGAAGCCCGAAGGAGCGATGTCAAGCTATATGGTGGGTGTGGCAAAAGATCCCATTCGAGGCTGTACGTAGTCCATCCAGTAAATGCAGACATATGTGATCTTGCATTATCTTGATGGAATATTACCTTTTTGCACTGGAACTCAGTTCGACATTCTTCCTTGATAACAGCTTCAACACAGACTAGCATCCTGCTGTACACCTTAATGTCGAGGCTTTTACCTTTTCTCAGATACACTTTATGGATAATACCATGGCAATCCCACCAGATACAAAGCATGATCTTTTTTTTAGTCAAATTGCACTTTGCAACGCTGCCGACAGACTCACCAAACCCTTTTCGGTCTGTGTTGTTAAGTAAATCAATTTTTTATCCAGTCCAGAATTTTGTCCTTGCTTTGATATTCGGGCAGGTTAATGCAGGCACGAACAACCTCTATCCTTATCTGCTTGAGTCAGCTCATGCAGTACCCAGTGATTGAAGTTATACATCATGTTTATGCGATGCATAGCACACCTAATGGGCATAATACTAACATAACTCCTTAGCAAGCTTTTGAGTGGTTGCATATAAATCTTTCTTCACAAGTTCTTGCAAGTGGGCCTTATCAGTAGCCCGACCAGAGTGCTCTGCTTCTTGAATGTTATAGTCCTTGTTTTTGAACTTTCGGTGTCAAACCTTCACAGTGCCATATGCTACAACATTCGTTCCTAAAGCTTTCCACATGGTTTCGTGGCATTCTGTAGCTGACTTTTTGCAATAGAATTCAAAGTAAATGATGGTTCTAATCTGGTAGCTTGATAGTTCCACTTCAGATACCTTGTACTTAATGATAACAATATTTTTTTTTTACAAATTTCGCACTGTTTCTTTCAAATGCCAAAAATGGTTAATCTTTGGATTATGGTAACTTGACTATTTTTTGGCGACTAACCCTGCTACAGCAACCTGCTAGTTTTTGTTTGGACGGCATTTGTTTTCACGAAGTAAAGGCATTTTTTTTTTTTTTTTTTTACTCAACATTTCCATTATTTTTTTCCAACAATCTGCTAGCCGAATTACGCTTATTGAACTTTTATGGAACAAAAGTGCTTAATCATGACAAAGATTAGGTGCGAAATTGGGACAAAGTGCAGAATCGCCCACTGCTTGCCGCGTTTTTGCAAATTACACATACACGGTATCATTCATGTACACGTTGACCTATTTTCACTTAAAAAAATGTCCCAGAATTGCACAAAAATGGCATTGCGCACACTCTTGACTATATCCAGGTACACTGCTAAAGTACTAGCTAGTAACCTTTATTGCCTTACCAAAATGTCACCAAACTACCTGTTACCATATTCCAAATATTAGCCCCAAAAATATTTTGACAAAATATGGTTAAAAATGCCAATGCAAGCAGTTTGCAAACGATAGGTACGGTGTCAGGAAACTTCTGTTATAACCCAATAAATTGATGTACATGCATTTCAAAAGGTAATTATTACTTAACACCCATTATCAAAACAGGTGTTAAGATTATCACCAAGTTTAAACTACTCGCATACAGTTTGTGGCTGTTATATCTCTGCTACTGCTTTTAACATGGCATCAAAAGGCTTATCTTTCCCACAGGATTTCCGCCACATAAATTCTGAAAGATACGACTCTAATGATGTTGAGCTGTACCATTTTGCTTTTTGTTTCGCTATTTAACAGAATCCCACAATCTTTCCACATTTTGGGTGCGAGCACCCCTTGTTGGATCAACAAAATTAAATGTGTGAATCACAGTTAAAAGGCAGAAACCAGCTCTTTTTTTAATAGGCTCACCAACAATCTGAATGTATTATTGAGGCTTCCACTACGTGGTACACAATTGTTAATATCGGTGTGCTTGCTGGGCGATTTGGACCCTGAACAAGGAAGCATTCACTACAGTTATTGTGACTTATCTCGCTTTGCAACATTGCGCTTGTCATTGGCAAGAATCTTGAGCACCATACAGGTGATTGTACGATTTTGCTCAGTTCCGCCTCCAATTTTGAAGGAAAGTACTCGGGGGAGATTGCTTCTGAGAGTCTCCCACTCCTCTTTCCCTACCGTCAATCTCGCAAGAGGCTCGCCACATATTTAGAGTGCTCTCATGTCACACAGACAATATACATTTACAAACATCCATGCCTTCTCCGGGATTCGAACTTGGGCCGTTTGGTACGGTAGTCAGCATCGCTGGGTGGTGCACTCACCACTTCACTACTCACGGCAAAACCTGCCAAATATCTAGTATTGTGGAAATATCCTGTCGGCATTGTTTCTTCTCTGCACTAACAAGCTCTCGTGAATTTGAACTATTTTTCCAGGGTCACCAATTCATCCTTTAAGTTGTCAAAGTAAATATAGCAAACAAACCTATCTTGTAAAATTTTTTTACTCAATTTTGGTATTTTGATACATGTTGATCTGTTTATTGCACCACTTAAGCGACATTACTTCCTTTGCTTAACAGTAATTGAAATGCAGTGTTGTTAAGAATGGTATTCTGGAGCCACTAAACCAGCTGTCAGATCGAATGCTCTTTTTTTGTTTACAACTTTTCATGTTGCACATCCACATACATTTGTTTCGATATAATTTCATTTCGTGGCCATTTACGCATATTCTATTGTGAGTTAATATATCTTTTTCTTAGAAAAATGATATGGTGTCTTCCTCACTGCTCAGTAAATTAAAGATTGTCAAAAAAATTCTTTTTCTAATGTTTAAACTGGAGGGGAAAAAAAAGGAAAGAAAGAATGCTATGATATTGCACTGTTAATCAAATTTGGCAAATAGAAGCCAAAAGTGAAAAATGTTGAAACTGAAAAAAAGATAATTATGATATCATGTGTTTCATCAAATTTGACAAACAGAAGTTAATCTGAAAAAAGACTTATTATTTCACACGGTTTACTTAATTTGGCAGTTTATTGTGTGGGGCCGTAAAAATCTAGTAGTACTGAAAAATCTTTAGAGTTAGGTTTAGTAAAGGGAAGAATTTAAAAAAAAAATGTGCTTAAAAGCTATTAATATCTTTGACTTCCTTTAAGAGAAATATATAAAATATGCTTCAATTTTATACTAAACAAAATAAAGATAAATGTGAAAAAATATTTTTTATATTTTTCAAATATGTGTTTACAGTGATTTGTTTTCAAAGTTCAGAATGTTCAGGTTTGAAACTTTCTCTGCTTAAATTATACAGAATAATTACTTTGGGATGAGTCACAGGGTTTTGTTGCTCTAAATATGAAGTTTTCATTAATTCTAGGGCAAAAATCAGGAGTTTACTTACAGCTTACTGTTCTGATATGACAAAAAATATTTTTTTTTAGTTCTAATCGTAACAAAATTAAACATTCTGGTGCTTATCATGAAATTACATATCAAGCATGTAATTATATTATCTTGCTCCACAAAAAAGTATTTTAAAGTCCAGGCCTTCAAAAATTTCTTAATATCATCTGCTACCTTTCTTTTCGTTTTCAATCCATTCATCCTCTTTCAAAATAATAATTAAAAAAAGTGAAATTTTCAAAACCAGTAACTTCTTAATGTTCTACGTATGAAGCCAAAAGTGTAACAATGAAAGCAAATAAATGCAGGACTTCCGGATCTGAACAAATATGTTTTATCTCCCGTTTTACTAACGCATGTGTACAAACACACTCGGGAATGTAATGTAACAGTCCTTCACGGGGTGCACCCTGGTTAATACTAAATCTGCTACAGCTTTGCCTCCTTCCTTGTGTCTCTGGACATTTTACTGAGAATTTTTGCAAGGTGGGTAAACTTTTGAGACTGCTTCAGTGGAATGCTGATGGCCTCTCACATGAAAAAGAACTAACTATTCTAGATAAGGAGGAGGATGTTGCGTTTTCCATTGTTAAAGCTAATTTAATAATCTGACTTTGGAATCCTTAAAATTCCGCAATTTTCCTGGATACTTCTTACATATATTACCTAAATCAAGACGAGTTGCAAGTGGTATTCTTGTTGAACTAAAGAAATCTCTTATGTCTTCTTTCACAATTATTAGTGCCTTGGACTGTGTCAGTGGCTCTGAGTAGGTTTGCACTGAAGTTTGGAAAAATGATGCCTATTTTACAATCTTTATGTGCTACAGCCCAACTGGTAACACAAAATTAAATTTTGACATTCTCTCTTTCTCCAGAAAAACAGTGCTAATGGGTGATTTTAATGCTCATAGAACTAGATGAAACTCTGCTGACTACAATATTGCAGGTAGAGTGATAGAAGATCTTCTGAACTCAACCCTTTAAATCTTCTATACCACCCATCCAATGTTCCTACTTACCTCCATTACAACAACACATCTACAAATCCTGACCATCTACAAATGGTTTCGGATGATCTAGCACCTAATGCCATAAGAAATGTAATTTATGACTGTAAACAGAGCGATCATTACAGCAATCAAGGAAAATACTCCTAAAAAAGAAATGCCAAATGTAGTAGACCACAACGCAGATGGAACTTTGAAAAAGCCAACTCGAATGTATTTACTGCAGATTCAGAACAGGGTTTTGAAGATGATAATATATTCTATATTGGGAGCATTGATACTTAGTTGAAGAAGTTTTGTGAGACAATCCACAAAGTTGCTAAAAAGTGTATTCCCAGAGGAAAACCTCTCGATTACAAACCATTCATGCGCATATGCATTTACGCATGCGCATAATATCTTTACGCATGCGCATATGCGTGTACAAATGTGCATAATACGTTTATGCATGCATGTTTAATGTATAAGGGACGGTATAAGCCAAGCTAAAATTATTTAATTAGCTATTTCAGTTAATGTTGCAGATTGAGTTGTTCCTTAATCTTCGAATTGGATCCGGCTTATTATTTTTTGCAGACTGTTAGAGCAATTTTATAAAAGTAAGCTTGAACTTTCGATTATGTCAAATAGAATTTCCGATGTTGTATACTTCCAAAGGATCTACAAAGCGAAAGCATGTTTCGATGTCCATCAAACAAAAAGTGGAATTGCTGCAAAAAAATGGATAAAGGTATATTCTTTGTTTCTCTAACCATTCCGAAATCTGTTTATCAATTTCACGCTGCTCTGCGGGGGAGGGGAACGTCGCAGCATGCAATGACTGGAAGTTGATCTGTCAGCACTATTCTAATCTTCAGGGCAGATGTTTTTATTTTATTCGGCTTATAGTTCATTACTAAATGTAGTATTTCATCTCGATGTACTCTGTCTTTTATATGATTTGAATCAAATTCATTATAAATATCACGAATACACATCAAATAGTTTTCTGGTTGCAATTTTCTAATTTCGACTATGCGTAATGTATGCTTTACGCATGCACGCGTTGAAAGAAATGTTTAATAAAGTAAACAAATAAATATTAAGCTTTTTTTTTTTTGTAAACTCTTTAGATCATAATTGTTCTCTATTTCATAAATTATGGTTTCATATTTTTAATTTTATAATTTCTGCATGCCATCTTACCAAATTTAAACTGATGATCTATAATCCGGAAAAATCGATAATGCGGAATCGCCGAAGTCCCGACGAGTCTGGATTAAAGACTTTTGACTGTATTTCAGAAATAAAGCAAATGTTATTTTAATAATCACAATATGAGAAAATTGTAAAAAGTGTTTTAACATTTCCAATGTTTATTTAGTGACCAAACAGATTGCATTCAATGTCTTAATCCCAAATTTGTTGAATTTTCATAGGCTCAATATTATGGACCTATTTCTATTGGGACTCCACCTCAGAATTTTAAAGTTGTTTTTGATACTGGATCTTCAAATCTATGGGTGCCATCAAAGAAATGCAAATGGACAAATGTAGCATGTTGTAAGTAGAGCAAGAGAAATTGGAAATGTTTAGAATATAGTTCATCATTGATGTTTAATAAGCATAATGGATTGTATGTTAATTATGTGTTTAAGTTCTGTATTAAATTGTTGATGCATAAAAGTTTAAGTAAAAGGACACAGTCTAACATTAGATTAGCAAACTGACTTTTAATTTTTTTTAGCACTCCAAATTTTAAGTCAGTGTATGCACTTCCAGTCAAGAATTTTGAATGATTTTCAATTTGATTAAAGCAGCAAATTGTCAAGTCTGAGTTTGCCTCTCTTTTAAATGTATTGGCTTCACTGACACATCTAGGACGTAAGTGGGAAAATATATCAGACTTCAAAAGACAAGATTTTTTTTTTATGCTGTCTAGCTGGTATATTTTGTACCATGACAGTAGGTCTTTTTAGTATATTGAGCACTACAATTTCTAAAAAAACTTGTCTGAATAATAATAAAAAAATTGTAGTTAATGTAATTTGCTAAAAAGGATGTTAACTTTTAAAAAGAATTTTGCTTAAAAAATTGACTACTGAAATTATGTTGAGACTCGACAGTTTTCTGAATTCATGTACTTTTACTGAAATATTGTGGAGAGCGTTGCGGGGTTTATATTTATGACCTATTGGCAATGCTTATTTCAATGATGTAAGGAATGTAAAACCTAGACCAAAGGTAAGTGTTTTTATAAAATAAACAACAAAAAGTGTAAAGAACAGTGGTAACAACAAAGCTTTAATCAAAGCAATTTTTTTTTTATTTCTTAATTTAAAACTTAATACTTAACAGCTAAATAGAAGACTGACCGCATTCCTCTCCCATGGGGATTCCCTGGTTGAGAACCTTTGATTTCTACAATTGTAATACAAAATGTGTATTGTTCTGATATGAGTTTATCTGCATTATCTTTCTCACTTCTGAGAAATTTTATGTGGGGTAAATCCTTTCAGAGACTTATGATCCAGACTGTTTTGTCCTCAGAATAAAGCACAGCAGTGGCTTGGTTACAATGTGGATAGCATCAAGAGCAGTAATTATGCTTGCCAGTCACTTCACTGTCAAAGTTTATCAGTTTGTTTTAGAAGACCAATTCATTAAAACATTGTACCTTGGATGCAAGGGAGGGGATAGTGTAAATGCATGAACCAGTTCACCCTGACAGAATACTTTAAGGAACATGAAAGTTACATTTTGAATTTTAATTTCTTAAATCAACAAATTGCTAATTGATTTTTAAGCATGCATTTAAAGTAGCTATGCTATTTTTAAATCTCTATTTGAGAAAAGATCAATCCTTAATTATTATTAATACTTAAATTTATTTGTTTTCATATTTCAGTACTTCATAATAAATATGATAGTGAGAAATCTAGCACTTACAAACCCAATGGAACATCATTAGAAATTAGATATGGAAGTGGAAGTATGACAGGATTTTTAAGCACTGATGTTGTAACAGTTGGAGGATCAAAAGTAAGTAATTGCATAGAATATATCTATATATATGTCATGTACCTTTTTTTTTTTTTTTAGCAATTCATGACATTTTCATTTTGCATGAAAATAAAAGTAAAATTCACTTAATTGCTGAGGTATTTCTTCTACCAGAACATAGTTCATCTTCGATGCATCATTCTCTGTCTTTGGATATCTTACAACATTTAGAAACTCTGGGTTTTAATAAAATATTCTTCTCAAAAGCTTTTTGTTATATTTCAGATACTCTTATAGCAGAAATTCTGTTGCAAAAATAAAATTTGAAAGTAAGAATTTTTGCTAGATACTGATAAAAATTGTAACAAATCCCCCCCCCATCCCGAAAAAAATGGCTGAGATGATTTTTATGTACATGCAATATTTTAAATAAATCATTCTCGATGGTGCTTGATCATTGTAGGATAAACTGTTATACTACATTTTAGTACTTTCTTATATGCCTCAGGAAATCATGGATAATTGAATTTGCTGGTATTAAATCAGGAGATATGAGAATACATTTGTAGTTAGAAATGTAAGTTGGAAATTAGAGCTTTCTGATACCATTAAGGAGACTTTATTCTTTCAGAACAATATTATTTTAAAGAAATACTATTATATGTTATTTATAGCTATAGAGTGTGGCAAAATATTTTATTCTTTCTTGTTAAAAGGTTTGAAGTAATAGCCTCTTAAGTAAAATAATACTTTCTATTTTATTTTGTTTCAGATTCAGGATCAAACATTTGGTGAAGCTGTAACAGAACCTGGACTGGCATTTGTGGCAGCTAAATTTGATGGTATTCTAGGCTTGGGATTTAGTACTATTTCCGTAGATGGAGTTGTACCTGTCTTTGATAATATGATAAAACAAAAACTTGTGCAGCAACCGATATTCTCTTTTTATCTTAATCGGTAGGATTTAAAAAGTTCTTTTTATTTCACAACAAAAAGATTATTAATGTAGTTTAGAGTATATGGTTAAATATATCTCATTTTTCTGAAATTGATTTTAGTATTATAGATTTACATTTATTATATACATTTGTAATTTATGTAGAAAATATGATATGTAATTATATTTACTTGAACATACCATAGTTGCCGACTGTCCTGGTAAAATCAGGCTTTCAATTTTTCATCACATCTGATTTTTTATTTCAATTAATTTTTAATTAAATTGAATATAGATCATCCCTTCTAAATGTAACTCAAGAAAAATATCGATTATTTAATCCTTCAGCGATATCCATCCTTCAGTGAAACACAATTTGTTCAAATTCAATTTTTCCTTGGTAATTTGTAGAGCAATTTTTCTGGTTAATTTTTATTCATTCTCCAATATATTCAGTATTTTAATATATTGGAGAGATTTGTAGAACATTTTATGAATATTTACATAATGGGTAAACATTTGTAATTAATTTTGCTTTAAATTTGAAAATGGTTTGTTACTAATTTTATCCTCATTATTATATGCACATTAGATCTTAATTTTGTTTCCATGGTGTTTAAAAGCATTTTAATAAATTAAATTTTTTCCTTCCTGTACTAATTAATTTAATAATATTAAAAGAAAGAACAAAATTGAATTAAATTAGTCCCAAACTATAGCTTATTTTTTTATTCTAATTTTAATTTAATGCATTTGATATTAAAATTCTATTATAACTAGTTTAATAATCTGAATTTAGTTTGAATCAAATTTCCTACTTTGGTGTACCTTTAGAGTTGCACTGGATACAAGGTGTAAAAACATCTTGTTTCTCATATTCTAAAATTGACAACTATTTATTTACCATAGCTTATGGTATATGCTTTGTTTTTATTTTGTAGGACAGTTTTTCTGTTAATTCTTTTTTCTGAATAATTTTGTAAATGAGTGTAATTATTTGGGGGTTTTTATTAATCATCATTTTATATATCTTGTGCAAATATTGTTAAGTGCATTTTAAAATGATTGGTTTGTATGAAAATTTTTATTAAACTGTCCCAATTTCTGCCATTTCAGCAACCCAAATGCAAGTGTTGGAGGAGAAATCATATTTGGAGGTAGTGATCCTGACCATTATAGAGGCAACTTTACATATGTTCCAGTTGATAGAAGGGGCTATTGGCAATTTCCTATGGATGGGTATATTGCTTTATTTAAATGTAGAAATGTTAAAGTCCAAAAAGTGTGATTACCTGATAAATTAAGTGTTTTAGATGTATGAAAAGTTCAAGATGTAATGTTAATTTTATGTAAAAAAAGGCAAGAAAACCAGTTTTATGGCATTGAAAGACTGGATGACAAGTAATAAATATTTTTCTTAAAAAGGTTAATTTAATATATGCTATCGGGGGGGGGAGGAACCAAGGTAAATTATGTTATAATGATATTACACTGAAATGGAGCAGATTTGTAAAAGCTTGTATTATGCAATAAATATGCGAAACACTTTTGTACACTTTTTTGCAGGGCTAATAAAATAGTTTCTATTACAAAATTATTTCTGTAGAGATTACTAGTGGTCCATATTATTATTAGTTATAAAACATCTGAACTTAATGATAAAACAGTTAATAATGAGCAACAGGAACTGACATAACAGAAAGTTTTCAGTACTATAATTTTGTTATTTATTCAAAAATATCAAGAAAGTGCTTCTTTCACTTTTTTAAAATTTACTTTGGGCTTTATTTGAATTCTACCTGCCTCCAAAAAAACCTTCTGATTTTTACTTTTATAAAGTTGGTAGGTATGTTAACTCATTAGGTACGAATAATATTCCTTGCCACTGTGGTTTCATATATGATGGTAAAATAAGTTTATTTTTGAGGTTTCATACTGAAGAGCATGAGTTCATACTGAAGAGCATAAGTTTTGTTTTCAAATTTTGTAAGTTTGTTTCTTTTGTTATCCATCATTGCTGCTTAGAAAAACATCAGATATTACAATTTCCAATTCTCCATAGTCAAAATTATTAAGAAAATGTCTTCCATTACATTTCCTAGAGATGTTCTATATCAGTAAAAATCTTTTTATTCTGTTTAGTAATCCTTTATCTAATTCTTATTTGTCCTCTGCTGTTCAAGAATTTGTTTCTTAGTTGCTTTTTGGCAAATAGTTTAAGAGGCTTCATTTTGCATAATTTAAGTGAAGCATGCATGAACATTGCAGCAATAGTTGTAAAGGATGTTTTTTAAAATTTTTAATAACAAGGTGAAAATTGTACTTGAAACTTGAAGAAACAAATCTTAAATAAACTGAATTCCTTACAACAACAAATCAGTGAAATACTTACAATGGCAGTAGTATAAAATTTCATTCTTTTCTATTGTTCTGAGTTTTTATGTTATGCAGCATTCCTTGACTCATTTGTAAGAAATAAGACACATGGTATTGAAGAAACAAATCTTAAATAAACTGAATTCCTTACAGCAACAAATCAGTGAAATACTTACAATGGCAGTAGTATAAAATTTTGTTCTTTTCTATTGTTCTGAGTTTTTATGTTATGCAGTATTCCTTGACTCATTTGTAAGAATTAAGACACATGGTGTTGAAGTCTTAAATAAAATAAATTCCTCTAAGCGGGAAGCTAAAATCACATTTAAAGATAAGTGAAAATAAGAAACTTTCACAGATGGCACATGTGCCTTGTCAAATGGAGTTGGAATGAAGGGCTTGATCAAGTTCTCCCTCTTTCATTGCTTTCTGCAGGGATACTTTACTTCTCAGAACTGGCACTCAGATGTATGATAGATTGAAAGATCTGTTGTATCAGTCATAGTGGTGATTTCTAGCATGTCTGTGATTTTAAAGCTACATTTATGCCAGGTTTTGTAGATGATTTTGCCCTTGACCCATTCAATTATCGAGTTTGGATACTCTAAGTAATATGTGCTATTTTTGCTGATGTACTGGTTGGCAGAGAGTTTGTATAAATATCTCTTTGCTATTCTTACCCTTGCTATTCTTACCCATAATTTTCTGATGTTGAGCCTGTGCATTAAATTTCTGTGTTTATATTTTCATATTTGATTTGTCTGCTGTTAGCAATTTTCAGATGGATAGAGATGGAATTACAGCAGGTTTATAATCAAATCTTTTTGAAAATGGAACTAATTTCTGGGATGACTGGATAGTAGGGGGAATGTCTAATGAAGTTACTTCTAATTGATTCTTGTATTGAGGACCAGAAATCTTTAGTTCATGTTAAGTAAAAATGAAAAGTAACTGTTTTATGAGGATGAAATGAAGAATCATATGAGATTCTTTCTAAATTGCCAGTTGGTTTATGGTAGACTGTAGTCTGAAGAATGTGTATAGTCACTAATGATCGTGAAATTGAGAACTATTTTAACTTCTCTATTAATCATTAATTGACTCCTCCCTTAACTAACTCATATCTCTTTTAACAATTTTCAGTACACTTTCTTCTTGTAAAGTATATGTTACTCAAAATATGTTCATTAAACTCAGTGAACAGGAATTCACAGAAGTTCGAACAAACTCAGTAAGTTTTTAAATAAAGTATTGTGAGATTAAATCCATTGAAATTTTTTTCTGTGAAAACTTCAAATGCTTTTTTCAAATAGCATAATTTCTACTGTAGGAAAGTTTCTGTCCAAATGCATAATCATATATGATCATATGTATGAGCCAGTACATAATATATTAGGGATGGTCATAATGTGGCTCTGGCATGCCTGTGGTGTGGCTTTTAATGCAAATAAAATTTATGTATGAAATTGTAAATTAAAACTACTCAATGTTCAAACGAAAGAAATTAATTCATTCCACTTCTTTTTGCAGAGTTATTAGTAAACTTAAACTGATCAATTTCCAAATGCAATTATTTTATTTTATTTCTAACGGGTTAAGAAACTTGATAATGGTATTCAGAAACATAAAAATAAAATAAAAATGTTGTACAAGGTGTGCTATTTATATTACTCGCCTAATAATGAAAAACAAATGTTTATGATCGAAACTGTATTTATTGTTTTTCAAAATATTCTCCTCGAAAATCAATACACTTTTGCATGTGTCTGAACTAATTTTCGAAGCACTTTTCCCACTCCGATTGAGGTAATTAAAAAATATGCATTTTGAATGCATCGACTGCTTCTTCGGGTGTTGCAAATCAGTGATCGCGTAATTTATTTTTGATATGTGGGAATTTAAAAAAAGTCATTGGATGCCAAATCAGGCCTGTACAGACATATCAATTTGATGTTTTGGCCTGTCAAAAGTTCCTTTGTTTGAGCCGATGTGTGAGAGCTGGCATTGTCATGATAAAGAATGATTCACATCTTTTTCTGCTTTTTTCAAAATTTCTCCGGTGACTTCTGGGCAAACAATTGGTCATGTGCTATTCTGAATTGACCATCCTGCATTACTGTAATGCCAGTGTCGTCATGTGGTTGGTAATGCCGAAGAAACATGCAACCGTTTGTTTCGATGTGCTTCTTCCACGAACAACTTTTGTTGTATTTTGCTTGTGTTAGAAGACCCATACAGTCAACTGCTGTTTATTTTCGAACTGATATGCATAGATCCATGATTCATCACCTGTATAGATGTTATATACAGCCTTTGATGCACCTTGACTGTATTTTTCCATTACCTTGCACCAGTGGACATGAGCCTTCTTTTGTCAAATTATGCGGGATCCAATGTGGACAAATCTTTTTTACGGTCAAATGTTCATGTGATATCTTATTGAATGTTGCTTTACTAATGCACTAAGATGCCTCAATCTCATGGTATGTCATATGACAATCTTGCTTTATCAGATCACGCACAGTATTGATATTTTCTGGCACAACCAATTTTGGACAACCTTCATGGGATTCATCCAGGAGCGAACGTCAACCACGATTGAATTCGTTATACCAGTTTTTTACAGTGCTGTGGGATAGTGTGTTACCGTTGTATAAAGAATTAAGTTCGTTGAACCACAGTTGTCTTGATAATCTACATCAAAAGTTATGAAAAATAATTGCACAAAAATGTTCACAAATCACTTCCATTTTTTGCCCAAGATGAATTTTTCAATCTACTGTAAACAACACAAATCACGCTAAAATGGCAAACAATCCAAAGAAGTTATGGTTAAAAATGTCAAACTTTTGATTGTCATCATCTGCAATCGCCTAGCAACACTTACTGTTGTCAAAGCCTGAAATATAAGTAGCAAACTTCAGGCTGATTCTATAAAATAGTTTTATAAAGAAAGTATTTAAATTTAGATTTGCTCCTTGCTAAGGGTCTTCCAAATTTCTGAATCATTGATAGCAGTAGAAACTAAATTAAAGTGGTCTGCGAGTGGAAAAGAAAGTGCATGTAATGCATCAGTAACATTTAATATTATACAGAATTTGATACAAGTTAAAAATTGTTTAGAAGTTGATTCGATGTTGGAATTGATGAGAAATTTATGGCTGGGGGAAGCTATGGGAATTTCTGATAAGAACTTCTATCACATTCTTGTGTTACATTTAGAAAATTTAGAGAATTTTTAAAATTTGAGGACAACATTTATGGCTTGCTTGCCATGGAACAAGCATGCAGGGGATAAGATAACAGAAAAATGATTTGAGTCATTGTGGCACAAATTTAAGAACTGAACATGAAGTATGAGTACTATAAAGCTATTACAGTTCAGTATTTACAAGAAAGCATCGCAGAAGAATCAAGAGTACTTAAAAAGTGAAAAAGAATACTTTTTTCTGCATCAGGCTAGAGAAACAAAAACACCACAAAAATGGAGAATGATCTGAATTTAAATGAAAAGAGAGGAGTAATGTTTCTTTTGGAAGAAAGTAGCATTGACAATACCTGTACTGGCAGAGCAGTTCAAAAACTGGTTTTGATCATATGTCAGCATTGATCTTATGCTTGTATAAATCCTGCATAAGTACCCTAAAAATAATTAAGAAATCAAATTCTTACACTCTTGGTTATACAGTTTTTCTAATTATAATGTCTTTTCAATGCTGTGCCTATAGCTCTTGTATGCAGATTAATTTTTTTTTTTTTTTTTTTTTTTTTTTTGCCATGATGGTTCTTTACCTGTGTTGATGTTATGCTGGTTATGATCCTAGGCATTGTTGATTATATGCATGTGATAACTGTGTTGTGAAAGTGCATTAATCTTCCTATTAATTATTACACTCTTAGAATATTTTTTCTTATGTTGATAGTATTCAAATAACTAATATGGGCTGCATGAGGGCATTGATTGTATGACCATGTTGACATTGTACAGTTTCAAACCTATATTATGTTGATCCTATGACTGTAAGTTGTATCTTCATTCTTGAGCATCTTTTACTGAAATTATCTTACATTTCAGTTTATCTGTAAATGGCAAATCAGGTGTATACTGTGCTGGTGGCTGTCAAGCTATTGCAGATACTGGAACTTCTCTCATTGCTGGTCCTGTTGCTGAAATAGAGAAACTTAACAAAGAAATTGGAGCAACGCCTTTGGCACAAGGAGAAGTATAAACCCTTTTATTAATAAATATTGTCATGCTTCTAAATAAGTATTAAAAATCATGCTTTTGACCAGCTCAATTTTAGTGTGCTTTCGTGTAGTTAATTGCATGCATATCCATTAAATGTTACAAAGAATTTTTAAAAAGTTAAAACCAAAACTTTTCAAACAAGCAATACCCCAATTAAAAAAAATTAATGAAACTTAAAGAAAAATGAACATAACACAAGACGAATTCAATCAACTTCAATACCACTTCATCGGGGGGGGGGGGGGGGGGAGGAACACTGAAATCATTTGAAATCACTCTTCTACAAAAATCCATTTTTTTCTGTATCTAGAATCAGCTGATGAAACATTCCAATGTATTTGACTTTTAATAATTCACCCAAAAATTCTGGCCCTTCCCCAAAGCAAGTTAAAAACAAAGTAAATTCTAGTTAGAATCTTTAAACTTAAATAAAGAGAATTCTATTTTATTTAAAGAATTTAAAATATAAGTGAAAAATTTTAAACCATTAAACATATAGCATATAATTCAAAACATTTTAAATATTATAATACTTGGGTGAAAAATATATATGTAATTTATTTTTTAGTAGATTATATTTAGTATATTTTCTCCTTTGAAAAAATTAGTTAGAATTCTATTGAAATGAAGTAACTCATAAGCATATTTAAAGTGGAATCTTGAACATATTTAAAATGGAAGCATTAAAAAGGTATATTTAAAAGTGAAAATGTAACCAACAAACTAAGTAATTATGGTCATTGACTGGAAATTAGTTGACTTTTCAAGGGGAACAAACTAACTTCTGATCAATTAACAATAATTAATAAATGCAAAGTGTTTCTTTTTCTCAAGTAAGAATGATGACAAAAAGCTTTTTAGTTAAACAAGTTGAAATTTTACATATACACTGCTGGCCATTAAAATTGCAATACCAGGAAGGAATGATCTGACGAATGTCAAAATCACATGAAAGGAAGAATTTGGGATATGCAAATGATTAGTATTTCAGAACATTTAGACGACGCATGAGGGAGAAACGTCACCTGACGCACTGCATAAAAGAAAAGTTGTGTAGTGGATTTCTCATTCAGAAAGTGCTTTGTAAAGTTGGAGTTTGTTCAGAATATCGTGTGTCTCGAATAAGAAGAGGAAATGCTTATCAGCAATTTTCATTAAAAAATTCTATAGAGGGAGGATCGTTGCCTATCGAAAGTGCAGATTATTGTTCCGTGATATCGCCGATCGCACTGGTTGACATCCAACTACTGTTATGCAAATAAGGAATCAGTGGATTGCTGAGAGTCATACGGAATAACATGCAGACTGGCCAGCCAGCAGTGTATATAAAACTATATATATGTATATAAAAGACATAAAGTAAGAAATTTAGAACCAATTTTTTACAAAGACCAAAAATTGAAATTCATAAGAAATAAAGTTCATTGGCTAATTCTGGATACAGAAAAGCAAGAATTTCTTATGAAAGAGATTTCAATTGATTTCCTTGTTCCTCCTCCTCCTGACGAAGTGACATTGAAGTTGATCGAATTCCTCTTCTTTTATATTCTTTAAATTTCATTTTTTTTTTTTGAATTGGGATATTATTTGTTTGAAGTATTAGTTTTAACATTTATTAAATTCTTTTTTTTTTTTTTTTTTTTTTTTTTTTTTTTTTTTTTTTTCATTATGAAATTTATTACTTATGAATTTCAATTTTTGGTCTTTGTAAAAAATTGGTTCTAAATTTTTTCCACTGTTTTTACTGATAATTTTTCAGCAGCTTAATGTGCAAAAATAATAAGCATGATTAAATTGTTTTTTTAAAAAAATGTTTTGTAATTATACATATAAATTTTCATACTTGTGCTAAAAGGAGGTATTTATTGATATGAGCTTTGTTAACCCGTAGCCAGTGTAACAAATACAAAAAATATGTAAACACAAAATAAAAGCAGTAATAATGCATAAACATATGCAAATAAAACTTTAAATTGATGACAAAATTTTAAAAATTTAAATCTAATATGTTATATAAAAGGAAATATTACAAATGTGTGAATGTTAGAAGTATGTAATATAGAAATAAATCATTGAAAATCCCAATTTGCTTATTTTAGAAACCAAGATAAAAGAAAAGAAAAAAAAAAAAAAATCCATTGTGAAAAGGAAACTAAGGAAAAAAATGAATGATTGAATCAACACACATGTTTTGTCAAGGATGTCATATAGCATTAGCTGTGTATCTGACTTTGCCAGTTTACACTTGGAAAATTTATTTTTTTCCCTTGCATACAAACATTATCAAAATAATTTAATTAAAATTACTATAATTGTCTAAGATAAATAAGAACAGAATTTTCATGATAATAGTAAAATTGTATATATAGGCTGATAAGATAATAGTATCATTTTCTTTTTGAAGACAGTAATTGTTTTTATGTACATATTTAAAGTATTTCATAATTAGTTTGGTGTTTCCAAGGAATAAAACCTTTGTTTAAAATAATTTTTTTTTGCAGTATGTTGTGGATTGCAAATTAATTCCAAACCTGCCGAAAATTTCATTAGTATTTGGTGGAAGGAATTTTGATCTCCAGGGTTCTGATTATGTTCTACAAGTAAGTTGTTGAAAATTATATGTTATATATCTAATCCATTCTGTATTTTTTTGGCTCAGGCAGACTAGAATGACAATGTTATAAATATCTATATTTTATTAATATACCATAGATTTCTACATGTACTTAAGTGCTGTGTACTTAAAAGAAATGAGAGCACATAAACTTGAAAATTTCATTATTGAATAACATGAAAAGTTCGTCTTATTTGTGTTCCCTTATATCTTCAAGCATACTATCAAATTCTGTTTTGTCTTCACCATCACTCTGATTTATAAATAAATAATCATCTTCCATTCCATTTAGATTATTAGAAATACTACATTTTTTAAATGACTTTTGAATTACATTGGGTCTAATTTCATTCCATGCTTTTGTTACCCACTCACACATTATTTTTAGACTGGCATGTCACATTTGCCTCCTTTCGTAAATGTTTCTTCACCTTCTAACCTGCACGTATTTCAATGTTTTAAATTTTCTTTGAAAGATTTATTAATACACACATCTAAAGGCTGAAATAGCATTAATCTGCCTGGTAAAACTGCCATATCTGTATCGCATTCTTTCAACAATTTCTTTGTATTATCTGTTAAATGGGATTTGAACATGTCCCAAACTAAAACCTTCACAAAGAAAAGGGTGTGTATTATATAGTGAATATACCTAAAAATTAAAAAATGTACTTTAAAATCCTAGGCGTGCATTATACACTGATGCGTGTTATATGCCATAATATAATAATATACGGTTTCAGTGATATATCTTCATGGATCACAAAAGGTGACATATCTCTAATAATTATTGGATGTAGACCACTTTTGATCAGAATCTTGCAATAGCACAGTTGGAAAAACCCTCTTGCACGTGCAGATAGTGTATTTTAAGTATGCATAAATTGCTGTCTGAATAGTGGTCTTTCGTTCTTTTGATATTTACATGTACTGGATTCTGGAATGGATGACATGTTAAATTACTCATGTTTTGTTGGAATTCCAGTGAACTCATGAAGCCACATCCAGAGAAATTTTTCGAGTAGATCTGGGCAGTTATGCTTATTGATCTGACAAAAACCCTTAAGCACAACATGAATGAATGTAGATTCGTAAGGATGGATAAACAACATTTGTTGGTCTATAATGTCTGTAAATGTGTCAGACACTATGTGAAATGTCATGTACCATACGACTCACTGCTGGACAACTGTTCATAACTTCATCAGTTTTTATGCTCATTTTCCCACATGTAGTAAAGTTTGTTTCCTTATTTCTTCGTGTATACTGAAGTAACATTTGTAAGTAAGCTACAGCTGCGACTGGCTGGCCATGAGGGCGTCGGTGGATGGGGAGCAATGAATGAGATAGAGGACAGTAGTGACAGGGCAAACCACGATCTAATTGCATCAGTGAAAGAATTACTTGGATGTGAATTTTGCATGGCTGTGGATTTGCCATAGTGGACCAGTCTGATGGCCAGCCTGTTCGCCAGATTTATCCAGCGTGAATTTCTTTTTATGGGGGCGTATGAAGGGCATCATTTAAGAGACTCCCATTGACTCGCTGGAGGACCTCGTTGCACGAATATCCATTTCGGCTGCAAGCGTAAGTGAAAGGCCTAACATTTTTCAACGTGTTCGACAAACTCTTCTACGTCGCTATCAAGCATGTATTACTGTTAGTGGTTGCAATTTTTAACATTTCTGGTCAATACTGTATTGCTGCAAAGAAGCACTTTGCACTGATTTTGTAAATAATCATTTTTCCATGTCATTTTTTGCGTTCGTGCCTTAACATGTCACTTTAGACTCTACATTCCTATAAAAGAAATACATGTTTTAGTATGCTCAACCACCCCTTTAAGTTTTGTCTCATAATCATAGAATCACCCTATATAATTTCCTATTTAGGAAAGAATTTTAAATCTTGTGTTCTATGTAATATATCATCATATTTTAAAATTAGGTAAATCGCCATATTCACAAAAATTTATCATCTTTATTTAATGACATTAATTCTAACCAAGCTCTGAATACTTTTAAAATTCTGTCTTATCTTCCTATGTTTCACCTTTCTTCCTTGACAGATGGCACTGTGTTCATTTTCTCTTTCGTCCAACCCATTAGTTTTGATATTAAAATGGTTGTTGGTGCTCAAACTTTTGCAGATTTTTGCTTCCAGAGAAGTAGGATTTATGTCTGATCATACCTGAAATCAGTAGTATTTTATTAAAAATCCACAGCAGTAAGAAGTTGCTTTTTTTGCCTGTTTTAACTTTGCAGAGCTGCCAACTCTCCCTTTTCTCCAAGTTTTCTGGTAGATCAACTTATCTCTCAGTTTTGAATTTTTAGCATGTTACTAAGGGAAATATTTTCAAGAAATAAATGAAATTTATTTACTTAAATTGTCCCAATTACATTCCTCCACCACTAGTGATTTTCAGAATAATTTTTCTTCTTAAATTTTATTTCATCTGAATTGTATTTTTCATTACGTTTTATTGGCCTTTTTCTTACAGAATTTCATTTTATCCGAGTTGTCTTAATTTATTGGAGATATTTGTAGATTTTTTTATGAAGAGTCAAGCAACATTTTGTCAGTATAAAAGGGTAAGAAACTTGTGAAATGGAATTAGCCAAAGAGAATAAAGTTTAAAATATTTAATGAAATATTAATGTATTCTACATCAGAGTTATATTTGAAATAGTTCAGTAACACGAATCATTAAAATGCATTATGAAGTGACTTTAAGTTAGTTCGGAGCTTCTTGCAGATGGTGTTACCACGCACCATGGAAACCTTCTAAAAACTACTGGGTTTCAAGATCGATAGCTATGTCTCTAATTTAGGTATAATATTATTGTTTCAGTATGTTGTGCAAGATATTATTTTATTTTAACCTTTTTTTTTTTTTTTTTAGGTATCACAGATGGGTCAAACTATATGTTTAAGTGGATTCTTAGGCCTTGATGTTCCAAAACCAATGGGTCCACTTTGGATATTAGGTGATGTTTTCATTGGGCGATATTATAGTGAATTTGACTACGGCAACAGCAGAGTAGGCTTTGCAGATGCAGCATAATCAAATATACTTTCTGAAAACACAGCATTTCATTTTGTGCATTTTCTTTTATATACACTCTTAGGTTATTTTAGTTTTTAAAGATTCAGTTTATTTAAAATGAATATTTTTCTGTTAAATCAGAGTTTCTTAAACATTTTTCAGTCGCGACCCCTTTTTATCACCGAGACTTTTTTCGCGATCCTAAGGACCGCATAAGTATTGCGAAAATCCGACACATGCGTGAGTGAAACTGTCAATTCTTTCACTAGTACAGTAACATACTACTGCAGTTTTAGGTAATTAACTTTAATTTCTAATTTTAATACATAGAACAATGTGAAAATTTAAAATAAGTAACAGATAAAATGTCAGAGTCGTGTGCAAAGCAAGGAAAATGAATGTTTATATTATAAAAAGAATACATCGAAAGTTTTTTTTTTCCCCTTTGTGTGTATTGTCTTATCTTTATCTATTTTTAGATACATTGTGTAAAAATATTTGGTAACTGTAAAATTATTATAAGTTAAAGAAATATCAAAATTGCTAAAATTTTTGGCGACCCCCCCCTTGCTACAGGTCTCGCAACCCCCAGTTTAAGAAACCCTGTGTTAAATCATGGTATGTTACTTAATTGTTTTATTTTATTTTTTTCTCAATGCACTGAAATATTTGTAAAATGAATAATAACTCATGCAGCATACTACCTATTATTAAAATGCGTAGTGATGCAAGTTGTGGAATATTAGCATTTATTTTTAAATGGCATGTTATATTTTAGATTTACATATTTAATGTCAATTTTTATAATAAAGAGCTAATAGGAGAACAAGTGGTATTTGTGTGCTTATTAGAATCACAATATATTTAAATTTATATAAAGCTTTAACATTTCATTTTTTATAAACATTTTGTTTCAATACCTTGAGATATTTCAAAACACAAATTCACAAAATTGCTTGTATCAGTTTTATAGATTTTAAATTATTATAAATTTGATATCATTTTTCATAATATTGGAAAACATGCATATTTATTATTTAAAGCTCAATGGTAGTATTGAGCTTTAGATAATAAATATGCATGTTTTCCATTTGTAATTGTGGGAAAAAGTGGTATCTTTGTGAAGACAAATTTTTAATTTTAGCACTTGTATAAGGCACTAGCGCAGTGTTTCCCAAATGTACTATGCCCATGTACCCGTTCTTATAACAAAAACCCTGACCATAAAACTCCAAGTAAAATAACTCTTAAGTACTTAGAAAATACAAATTTAACTGTAATGTCTTAAGTGGTGGTGTAAAAATACAATAGTATAAATAAAACATTTATATAGTTAAAGTAGTATGTATTGAAATTATAACTATTGCTTAAAAATAAATAAAAATAAAAAATACCCCCTGACCCAAACGAGATGTATGAACCTAATGGGATGGTATGAGATTATTTATGGTCACTTATATATTTGGAATAACATTCATAAGTCTTCATGAGCATTAATTTCCAGTTGACTTCTTTGTTTTGTAATGATGCTCTGAACTGCCTTAAATCTATGTTCCTATAAACAGGAAGTTACAGGAAAGCATGCAAAGATTTTACTACAGTAATGCAGGACATAAAATTCGAATCTGTTTTTGTAACCAGAATTTGTGTATGCTTGTTCAAACATTGGTTTCCATTCCTCATTCATGGATAATTCAATAACTTGCTCCTATGTTAGTATAGAATTCATCTGAGTTTCTTGCAGAAGCTTCAGCGCCCAATCGGGAACACCAAAGTGAAAAATATATTCAAATCTGTGGCTCAAGTTAGAATAAATAGCCAGTTAAATGCTGACAGTAAGCAAGCAAACCTTCATCTTGTTTTACGCAATTTCAAAAGATTTGGAAATTGAGAACATTCTTCTCTCGCTAGTTTTTTTTTTTTTTTTTTTTTTTGTAAGTCTTTATATTGCTGCGAAAGCTGGCTATGAAGAGTGTGTGTTAACTCATTTGAAAAATGCTGTTGGACGTGATATTTTATCGTTACCAAGTCTTGAAACATTTGATACCCCTTTGCATTTTGCTGTGAGTCGTAGGATTGTTAATTGCGTCCGAGAATATATACTTGAACTTAGGATCTGATGTGAATCACGTCAATTATGCAGGATTGTCGCCGTTGCATCTCAGTTTTTTTTTCCCCTTTTGTATAGAAAAAGTTTTGCCATAAATGCATATATTATGCTTTTATTTTTCATAAATTTAATTGATTGACTTGTAGCTTCAAACTAGTTTCGCTAAAATAAGTTAATTATGTAAGATAGGCAAACAAATAAGTTAATTATATGAGCTGGATGTTTTTTTAATTAATTAAATAAGGTGACAAATCATTGTCATTTAATTTCCTGGAATTCAACACAACAAAGAGCACAGAAATTTCATCCCAACATCCACTTTTAGATAATTGATGAACTTCCTTATTAAGTAGTAAATTATATAACCTTTATCGCTTTCACAAGGTAAAATAGTCTCTCATTTAAGGCATTTCTTTTGATTTCGTTAACTGTTCTAATGCTGTAATCCAGTGAGCCATGAAAGGGTTCATTAAGATTTTTAATATCTAAATTTTGTCAAACAATCATGCAATGTACTGTTAACACATTTGGTCCACTGCCGAAACACTGTTAGTAGCAGGAGACAAGATATAACTTTTAAATCCCAAAATTTTTTAATTAAGTGTTGTTTCACCTTTCATATCAGTTTCTAAACATTTGACAGATAATAATTCCTAGAAATTTTTCTTTTTTTACAAATTCTACATAAGTTTAAAATAAAACAATATTTCCTGGGAAAGTTGATTCATCAAGCTGACTAGAGAATTTAAATGTTTTTTAAAATCTGGCATAAAGAATTTCTATGCATCGAGCCATTTTGTCAATTCTTCTTTGTACTGAACTATTGCTCAGTGGAGTTCTTAGAATATCAAAAGCTGGTTTATGCAACACAATATGTATTACCTCATTTACAGTTGGGTAGGATAAGTTCTTCACTAATGATAAGCAGCTTTCCGATTTTACAATCAGTAAAGAAATAATATAAGAAGCATGCAGTCCATAGTCATCTCACTCAGGTGTTGTTGCAGTGTTGCATTGTTTTTAAATATTTTTTATAACTATTTAAAGTAAAAGGTTAAATCTGTCACTATGAAATTTCATAAAATGTTCCTTAAATTTCATTGATTCATTTGACAATGTTTTATTGATTAGAAGGCATGTGGGTAAAGTATTATATCATGGTAATGGAATAAGTTGTATATTGACTGCATTTTAACTCACTGATACTGTCATCTGTAGAAAAAAGGACACAATTTGTTTTATTTCACTCGGGACATAAAAATTGCTTCTGATTTATTTATTGCTTTTTCTAAACTTTCATAAAAATCGGTCACAATTATTTTATTTTACGTTAAACCATTTGTGGAAACCCCAACATTGTCCACACACCCCCAAATTGTTTAATTTGCTCCTTAGTAGTCATAAGGACCCCTTGGGGCAGTAGAACCACTGCATTAGAACATCCGTAAATCCAGTCACTTCAGACTAGAGGCAGTACTTACCTGTTGAATACATTTTATATTTAATGCAAGTTTTAATTTTTTTAAACAATGAAAATTTATTTTTATCAGCTAGCAACAAAAGGTATTATTTTTATTTAAAAGGACAAAAGAAATCATTGGTTCAAATTTTAGCTGCAGTCTTTTTACAGGGTCAGAGGTTTGCACAGCTGTAGATCTCAATTTCAGTCTCAATAGCATCTACTCAAAAACAAATTGAGATCTGATAGTAATGCAGAATCCAAAACACAGTAGATGGAGTTGTTTGGAAGATGATAATATGTCCATGAAGGAAAAAAGTCATGTGGAACTGCCTACAAAAGTAGTAGGATGAAAGGTCTCATAAATGCAAAGTTAGCAGATATGGAGCTGCTGACTGTAATGAGCGAGCTGCTGTGTGCCTGCAGAATATGGAAGTAATTTAGAGAGGAAGACATTTAAACAAACTACTCTACTGCAAACATAGAGGAGAAAATTCCAACCTCGTGATTGATTACATGTTTTCTTGGCATCATTCCTCCCATGTTAGAAAACACCTTGATGCTATTTGGGCTCAAGGATATGTATCCATACTATTTTTATGTTTTTTGCATGCTAATTTCAGCATTAAAAGTACTTTATTGATAAAATGTGTCATGTTACCAGATTAAATTTCTTGCTATACTGACGTGTGGTGAGTTTAAAATTAAAAACGTTTTTGGAAGAGATGATTACAGTTGGCTGTTTGTAAGTTAATTCCATAAATGTGGGTTGATGTATTCACTCAAAGGTCATAGCAGTAAAAGATTTCCAATAATGAAATCCTAAGGAATTTTGGTACTTTTCTGTTTTGCCGGCGCAAACGATAAAGTCATCAATAATGGTACAACTGATGCCAAACGGAATATCTTTGCTGGTAACCTTTTACTCTTCATTTTCAAAACAAGTTGCAGCCATTTCTTATCAGATTGATTGTTTGTTTCAATCACACTACTCGCCCGAAGGTGAAAATATAGAAGAGGAAAAATCAAGGGTTAAATTCATCAAATCTAATGAGAATGCACAAGCGAAGTAAAGCACTGCGATTTTACATAATTTCCGAGTAAGCTATTCGTATGAATTGAAATAATTCTCACATTTAAACTTGTATTCCATAAGATTTAATTTAAGATTTAACTTGAAATAACTGTAGATAATTACTGAGAGAATTAGATTTTTGTAGCATAGTTTACGTGAGATGAGATCACATGGGGTCACGTGATACAAACCGGCGAATCAAGATGTTGAACCATGAAAGCATAGTAAATTCTTAAATTAATGTCTTTTTACAAATTTATTGGCTTTTAACAAAATTTTAAACCATATTAAAATGTTGATGCTTTCAAAATAAAAAATTCTTAGAACTAACATTTGTTAACATTTTTTCTGTGTATACTGTATACTGTCACCAACGAAGTCTGCTTGGCGAGATTTGAGCCAACGAAACGGAAAAGTACTGGAATTTCTTTCACGTTAAAGATAATGTTATTTTTTTAATGTCATACAAGTTATAAATCTGTGTCATATAGATGCAGATCTGTTGTAATATCTCACTTGTCTGACAGTAACATCAGAATAGGACCACGAAATTCATCGAGATGCAAATCTAACAGCATGAGATAGAATCAGTTTCTGCAAATAGTAAAATTGTTGAGAATTTCTCTGAAAAAATCAAATCTGATTTCGAAGTTAGACAATTAGACCTTACTGAAAACCCTCAAGGGGGAAATCATACATTTTTTAATGCATGACATGTTTCGTAGTTTTAGAGAGGAAGGCAAAATATTGAAAAAAGGGAAAATATTGCTTAACATGAAGAACAATTCTCTTTTTTTTACATATATGTATTAAACCCATATGAATTTGTTGCTATGATGATAAAATTGCTCTCTTTTGTTTCTAAGAGTGCATTTAAACATCAAACAAATTTAAAAGCAAAATTAGTGAATTTTGTTTTAATATTTATTAATGTAGTTTTATAAATATGAATGTAAATTTTTATTCAGGTCATTAATACATAAACAGAAAATCTATGTGTAGTGTGCAATAACTTTTGGGAAATTAAAGTATGTTAATTAATAGATGATGAAAGATTCTCAACTCCTTGGCAGAGGGCCTTAAAGTGGCTCAATTTACGACATAACTGAACACCAACAATTCATCCATCTGATTTTGATGCCTGGCAAAATTTGTTGATATATCACCATATATAGCATGTTTACCTAAAAATTTCTAAATAAGTGTTCGAAAGCAAATCTGAGTCACTGTACCATAGTTGCCAAGTCTTACAATTTCAAAAGACCTTTAAACCAAAAAAAAAAAAAAAAATAAATAAAAAATTATATTTATAATTCATATTTATAAAAAAATTCATATTTTAATTCATTCATTTAATTCATTAATTTTAATTCATATTTATAAAAAAAATTTACTTCAAAATTAGTAAGTTTTGGGTTATTAAACTAGCTACTGAAAAAATGACATTGAATATGATGTTTATTTTACTAATATGTAAGTTATGTTTTCTGATTAATTTCATGAAATTTTATAATTTTAAAATATACTGATGAAATTCCAAAGAAGAAATAAAAGTACATTTAAACATAATAAAAATGAATTAATAGTTAGTATATATATACTCGTATAGATAAGCTTAGCATATGCAGATTTAAAGCAAAGCCATGTTTCATAAAAAGCACTGCAGATCTTTCATGGTTTTTTTATGGGATTACGGCAAAGTCTTGAGGGCTTGGGGAGTCATGGAGAACTTTCTAAGGGAAACTGGCTCGTATGTACGTTACACATGGTGGAAAACCACGAAAACATCCATGCAGCCAGCCCATTTGTAGGATTCGAACCTCAGACTAAACTGCTAGTATTCAGTGATTTTATCACTCGGCTGCTTGTGGGCTGATCTTTCATAGATTCTCACACTAAATACAAATTAATAAAAAATTATGCTGAAAATCATTAGGCCAAGGCCGACCAATGGCTGAGTGATAGAAGTCGCTGGATGGTGATAGTTCTGTCATGGGTTTGAATCCTATAAACAGTGTAGCTGCATAGGTGTTTGTGGTTTTCGCCATGCATAACATCTGTATGAGGCAGTTTTCCTTAGAAAATCCTTTATGACGTCATCCCTCCCCCTTAAGTATATAGACTTCAAGTGCTTTGGCATAATCAAATACGTCAAACCAATCATTAGACCATGCGGACAGGCTTCACATAAGTTTTATTAACCTTCTGAGCAGAATGGGTTTTGGGATCTGTCATGAAGACCTGTATTTAAATAGTATTTATTAGTGCTGTTTTTTGAATTTTTGTTCTTTAAAAGAACCTTGAGAGTTAACATAGTATGTGTGGAATCGAGGTTCTTTGCTGCAGAAATATAAGTTGCACTAAGTTGAAAAAATAAAATTAATTGGTTACTTTCTTTCCATTTAACAAAATAGATGGACATATCGTGTCAGACTATGACACATTAGTGAAATTATATGATGGATAACATACGAATGTATTTGACTGGTACATGACTTGATGGTATCAGCACGTGATATTTCTTCCAGTGTGTTGTTCCATGTTAGGATTATGCATCACATTTCTGTACCACGCTCGAGAGAGTCGGCAAACACTTAGGATAGGCAAGGCAGGAAAGACAATCTTCAACACCATTAAAACCGGGAAGACACACAACCCTTTCTCTCACTGTAGAGAGGATCCTTCCGTGCAGTTATATAGTTCACCTTTTCTGCTAAGCGCAGTCATGAATGGAAGGAATGCAAATTTTCAACAATTAGATAAATTTGTAAAATTACTTATTTTAGTCTCTACTTTCATAAACCAAGTAAAAAAATATCATGACTGGATAAAGCTGGTTATAGCACACAGAAAGTTAAGGAATCATTATATCTTGACATTTTTTAAGAATTTTTTCATTAAAATTTTCTTCATTCCATTTAATTTTCTTTTAATGGTATAATAATTTTAGGCTATTTTTTTAAGGTCCGATTGGTCGCGAAATGAAAAGTTCCAATGACATTATGGGCAGATGTCGTGCATTTTCTCATGTCAATAGTGTCAGGTCTCTTAGCCCATAAACATGCCTCGAACAATTGTCTCTCTTACGAAGTGACAAGTTCATGCTGGCGTTTGATTTCTGCATGTTGAGGGGTGCAATGCAGTTGAAATTCATTGATAACTAACTAATGTGCATAGAAAACACTTTCATGACTGACAGCAAAGTGTGGCATTGGTTTAGAAATTTTGAAGCGAGACATGTACAGATGTTCATGATGCAGGCAGGCAGGGAGGGAAGCAAGTGTCAACTGATGATCTTGTTCAGCGAGTGGATCAAGCAATTCGAGAAAATCATCAGTTCGCAATTTTCTGTGTTGAGTGATTAGTTTCCAGAAATTTCAGTGAGCTCTCTATATCATCGTGAGTGAGAAACTCCAGTACCATAGACATTGTGTGATGGCTTCCGAAAATGCTGTCTGACCATCACAAAATACAGCAAATAGGTGCTACCATGCACTACCATGATAAAAGGAGAGATTTTTTTAGAATCATGACAGTTGACGACACATTGGTGCATTTCAAAACTGAAGAAACAAATGAGCAATCTAAACATTGGATGCATATCATTTTTTCAAGTAAACCAAAAAAGTTCAGGGAAGCATTCTTCAGCAGAAAGTGTATGGCTACTGACACTGTGTTCTGGGACCAAAAAGGTGGTGGAATTCATGAAATGTGGTACAACCATCATTGCAGCATCATACAGCATTACTCTTGAACATTTATGAAGAGCAGTTGAGAACAAGCGCAGTGGAATGTCATCACGCATTGTCGTTCTTCGTGACATTGTGTGGCTGCACACTATAGCTGCAATGAAGACACTCCTGCAGTGTTTTTGGTGGGACATGTTTGATCATCCACCATACAACCTGGACTTGACTCCCTCTGATTACCATCTCTTAGCTCACATGAAATGCTGGCTATGAAGACAGAAATTTCAGACAACGAGCTGCAGATCAGCACAGAGAATTGGCTTAAAACACAGGTGGCTGGCTGCCTTCTATGATGAAGGTGTTGAAAAATTGGTACCATGCTATGACAACAAATGTCTCAGTTGGAGCAGTGATTATGTAGAAAAGTAGCTGGAAGGTGTATCTAAATATTCCGAATTGAACAATTTTATTTTCAATGTGGTTTTCATTTCATGACCAATCAGACCTTGACAAAAAAAAAAAAAAAAAAAAAAAAAAAAAAAAAAAAAAAAAAAAAAAAAAAAAAAAAAAAAAAAAAAAATTTCCTTATTTAGTTATCAACTATCTAGGTAAATTAAAAACTAGTAGGTCTTTTAATTTATCCGGAGACTGAAAGTTATGGTGAAAATATGACGTTTCCTGGTTTCACTGGGATTGTTAGCAGCTCTTCTATATGAAAAATAGAAAAATTCAAAATGCAAAAACTGAGGAAACCAAAAATATGTTCTTTCTCCCATATACTTTCACTTTCCTGATGCACAGATATCCCTTAAAAAAAGTTGAATTTTTTCAGGGAAAATATAAGAATTCCACATACTATAATTTTATAATCATTACTTTAATTTTTATTACATTTAATACTTCAAAATTGTTTACTAAGAAAATTATGTCATCTCATGTATAAAATTCCTATAGACAGTGTAATTAAATAGACCATTGTCAATACTAACAAATGAACAGTTATAATGAAATGAGATTTTAAAAGCATTTGGTAATCAAACCTGTATATGCTAAAAATGTGTATGCATAAATAAAGGGGAAAAATACAATTCAGTATTTGAAATAGATGAAAATAAAAATAATTTTATTTATTTTATGTATGTACATAATTACTATGCATGATATAAATTAATAAATCATTTATATAAACAGAATGATCATGAGAAGGGGAAAAGTGATCAAACTGTGACCAATAACACAGTTACCCTATAAAATACTGTGAATGTTTATAAAGTCCAATTCCCTCATGATTTACAACATCTTTTCCTTATGTAGTATATAAATCACATCATTAAAATAAGAGAAAGCACTCTAAAAATTGGTATCAAGGTAGCAAAGCATCTATTGTTTTGTTCCAGTCATTTTTGTTCTGCACCAGAGCCTTCTTGATTGCATTCTTTTCAAATCCCAAATCTTGAAATTTGTTCAGAAGATCCAGAAAAACTTTTGCCTGTTTTAAAATAAAATAAAAATTTGTAATTAATGAAATAATAAAAAATTTTAACACTTGAAAATATTTGTGAGTACTAGTCACCATATTTTAGGAAAGATTTTTCCTTGACATTTCATGAAAAATGAACACTTTATTTTTAAATAAAAGGTGTTTTTTAGCAGTTAATAAAATAATAAAGTTTTATTTCTCTCTTTTTAGGTTTTACATTAAACTTGGGAGTATTTGCTCATTAAATGATTAATCAAATAATATCTAAGAATTATTTAATCAGGATTTATTGAATACAAAAGTATTATATTTTTTAAATACATGTATATGCAAAGAAAATGATATCAGTAAAAGACGACAATGTCGTGAGAAGAAAAAGTATAGTAGGGACTTTTTTCCTCTTTTGAGATAGCAATAAGTTCTTTCATAATAATGTGGCAATTTATATACGGGGAAAAAAACTGCATGCAGAATTACTTTCAAAGGAATCTTTATGCTGTTAAACAAGAGAACAAATAAGTAAATACATGTATTACTTACAAATGGCCAGCAGTACAGTTTTTCCTAAACTGAATCCTTATGCTTATTCTAGTACATTACATTCTATACATATACAGTATGATTAATAACTATATTAACAGCTAGAATTGAAATCTGGAGTTTATTTAAAACATTTCTTTAAATTTCCTTCTTATCCTGTTTTTCAATTTTAAAGTCCGAATATTTTTTGCAAGAGCTATTTTTGAGAATCTATCTCTATTTACCATCAAAGCTTGCAGCAACCTGTAGATTCGACTAGCACAAAATATAAATGAACTAATCATATAGTGCACTTAAGATAAAACTCAATATCTGAAAAGCAGTGGAGAAATATATTCTTCACAAATGTTTATCACATTAACTCGAAATTATTTTTAGACAATGAAATATACATCCAGAAGTAATACTAAAATGAAAGATGCGATTGTAAGAACAGCATACTGACACATGCATAAAATGCTAAATAACTTCAATAATAAAATTGTATATTCAATCAAAAGTCTTATTAATGTAGCATATTTTTGTTAAAAATTATTTGCACATTCGTACCCAAAAAAATATGATTAGATTAACCATGCTGAATGTGCAAAAAATGAAACTTTACATGTTTACATACAAAAATTACAACAAATTGCTAGCACTTGTGAATTATTGGAGCCCTACCATATATTCCAGAAGGAATAACATAGAAATATAAAACTGAATTACTTGATCTTGATTGTAATCATGTAAATGAAGTGCCGCTTCTGCTTCTAAACTATCATATCCAGATTCTTCTAGCATCTGAATCTGACACAAATGTTCCACAACCTAAAACAGGAAAAAAAATTAATAACACGAAAAAAAATATTATTAAAGTTTTGAAATTTGAAAATGTAATATGCCAAGATTAAAAATATAGTCCTATATATATATGATGTGAAATATGTCTGAAGCTATATATATTGTATGTCTGTTATTGTATTTTGTAAAGATTAGATATAGTAATTATACATAGATATTTCCTAGATCATGGTATACAACAAAGAGATGTAGAATATGTCAATTATATCTGAGTATAAATGGTAAAAAATACATATTTTTCAAGTGTTTCTTTCATTACCTTCTTATAACCATAATAACTCTTTCATTAAGCATGTATGAGTGCAGTTAGGGACAGTTACTTCCAGGTATAAATAATGAACTCTCTGACCGGCCAAGCTTTATATACTGGCTGAAATTTTTTTTTCTTTCTTTAGAATTTGCTCTTCTTAAAAAAAAAAAAAAAAAAAAAAAAAAAAACACTTTAAGAAAAAATATATATGTCTGCGTGCATCTTGAAATGTCCAAGAAATTAAGGCAATATATTAAAAGTACATAAGTGCAGGTAAGGTAGAAGCTAAGCCAGCACCTATGTATTTTAGAATCAATAGTATACTCTAGTTCGGGGCAGATAAAAGCCAGCCCTTCTAATTGCTTAATCTGACAAATTATGAACTACTGCTAACTAAATTTCTCTCTCTTTTGAACCCAATTTTATATGCAAACTACCGAAATCAAGTGCACATGTTGTTACAGTATCTACAGTATACGAGGGCTGTTCAGAAAGTATCGAGACTGAATTTATTCTTTTATTCCAGAAAACCCCTAGCGGTGGGACCGAGTGCATCATGCACGCGCATGTTTCACCTCGTTTCACAAAACCGGCAGGTCTGTACAGTGCGCCGTTCAGTCACACTGACTTCTTTCATGTGGAGTGCTTGCATGCGTTCGTCGAAAACAAAAAATGTCTGAAAACACGGAGCAGCAAATCTGTATCACTTTTTGCTTTAAGCTCAGTAAAATGGGCACTGAAAGCTACGAGATGATGAAAACAGCATTTGGAGATGAGGCGACGAGTCGTGCTCAGGTTTTAGAGTGGTTCTGGCGATTCAAGGAGGGTAGGAAATCGGTGGACAGTGATCCCCGTTCTGGACGCACGTCCACCTCTCGCAATGAGGACAAGATTGCACAAGTGCAGGCAGTGGTGCGCTCTGATTGTCGTTTAACAGTACAAGAAATTGCACAGGAGTGTGGTGTTTTCATAGGATCATGTGATGAAATTTTGAGGAAGACTTGAACATGCACCGAGTGTCTGCAAAGCTTGTGCCGCGTCTCCTCACTGAGGATCAGCAATTCCAACGACTGGCAATCTCACCTGATTTGTTTCAAAGTGCAAGCGACGATCTGGAATTCATGAAGCTCATCATCACTGGGGGTGAGTCGTGGATTTACAGATACGATCCCGAAACAAAGCAGCAGTCGTCACAATGAAAAGCTCCGGGTCTCCTCGGCCAAAGAAAGCACAGCAGGTGCGAAGCCAGATTAAAGTCACGTTGCTTGTGTTTTTCGATGCAGATGCAATTGTTCATCATGAGTACGCTCCCCAGGGCCAGACAGTGAACACGGAATTATACTTGGACATCACGAGGAGATTAAGAGAGGATGTTCGCAGAAAACGACCGGTGTTGTGGCCGTCCTCTTGCTGGATGCTTCATCATGATGGAGCCCCAGCACACGCCAACAATCTTGTGCAGCAGTTCCTGGCAAAATACTGAACAATCCAAGTAGTACATCCTCCCTACTCGTCGGACATGTCACCTCCCGATTTCTTCCTCTTTCCCAAGATCAAGAACACCTTAAAAGGACACCGGTTTCAGGACATTGAGACCATAAAACAGAATTCGACGCAGCAGCTTCAGGCCATCCCAAAGTCGGAGTTCCAGAAATGTTTCAAGGACTGGGAACATCGTTGGGCCAAGTGTGTTACTGCCAATGGAGCATATTTCGAAGGAGATTGACTCAAAACCTGTGACCTGTTTTGCATAATAAATTCAGTCTTGATACTTTCTGAACAGCCCTCGTATATGCACATATATACATGACTATACTAAGAGTCAACTTAAGCTGAGAATAGTACACATGCTAGGAAGCATGTGCACTGACAAAGAATATAGTTCTATCATTTCTAGCAGCTGTAATTTAGAAATTAAACAATGAAATATGAGTATTGTTGATATAAATAGATCAATCAGGAAAGGAAGCTTAGGGAAAGAACATTTCAGTCCTAAATTTTTATTCAAAAATGAAACAGTGCACATGTCAATTATTTGATACCAACAGCAACAAATCCCATTTTTAGCAAAATTACACACTGCTAGTAACCTAATCATACTTAGCTAAGGAAAGAAATGAAATAATTAATTTCTTGAAATTTAAGTCTACATTTTATATTTCACTGGTTGACTTGCATGTAATTCACTATGACCTCATGTTCACCATCTGAGGCTTGTTGAAATTAAGAGCATAAAATGCTATTTTAAACTTTATTTTTCAAAATTCTACCAGGGAGGGAAGTTCACCTCCACCCATCGAGCTCTGGCAAACAATACGGGAACTGCAAAAGACTGTTACACAAACAACAGCACATAACACAATAGTGTAGAAACAAGCACCTGTTTCTTCGCTAGTCTGCTACATTACAACAGATACTTAAGGCCATTTCTAACTTTCTTTTTTTGCCTTATAACTATAGTAACAATTATTGCAGAAGATAGCTGAGTTCTCCAATTTGCTAAAATCTCTAATCATCTCTGTGCATTGAGTGATGATGACACCGGTTATGATCATAAATGAGAAGAGGATTGTTACACCCTTGGAATGCTTATTTTAAAATAACAGGCTATAATACAGTGGTCTTCAAACTGTGTTTTATAGAACCTATGTGTTCCGTGCAATTCCTTTCAGGGATCTGCATAGCAAAATCAAAAATGCAAAAAATCCTTCTATACCATGTGAACATCATACTATTAAATGTGCAAAATAATTAAATATTTTTTATTTAATTTATTATTGTTATCTAAAATAACATGAAGTAGATCAGTTTTTATAATAAAATAATGAGTTTCTTTTACTATTTCCACATAAAGTGCTGATAGCATTGCTATATTTTCAATGTTTTAACATTTACTTTTTGGAAATACAATAGGAGTTCCATGCTTTAAAAAAAGAAAAAATAATAATAATTTACAGCTCTATGAGTTCCTTAAGTCAACACAGTTTGAAGACTGCATTGTTGATACATGAAGCAATTCACCATTTATTACCTTTTTTTCATCCATTCCTAAGTGTTTCACAGTTCGAGCTACTTGTCCTCTTGAGAAACCCATGTCTGTTATTGAATCAACAACTTGTCTTTCATTATCATCTAATTCATAATAAGGATCGGGCAAGCCAAATGGTTTTGATGCATTGCTATCTGAATTTAGGATGCCATTCCTGGATGCATTCTCATGGTTTGTAAATTGGGAATGATCATTTTTATCCATTTTATTAATCTGAAAAATTACATGAAGTTAATACTAATCTGCACAAAAAGGGAGAAATAAAAATCTTAGTTTAAAAATATACTTGTTTTATTTTTCTAACAAAAGAAATAATACATAACAACTAAAAATAGGTGAAATATTGCTGTTACCAGATAGATGTAATCATTACTGTTTTTCATCCAGTTTATTTTGCCTTAAAGATTATTATTATCAATTTGGTAAAGAAATAAAAATAAAAATAAATTTTATATTAAAAACAAACCTTTTTTCCACCTAAATTTAAGTCAATGAAACATTTTTTTTTTTTTTTTTTTTTTTTTAGGAGGCTGGGCCGGCTTTTCTTACTGCTAATAATGCAATCTATCGACATGATTAAATCTATCGACATGAAATGCATAATGGCACTTTTAAGTCTCATGCAGCTCCTAGCAAATTATTACTGTAGACAGTTATACTAAGCGTACTGCTAAAAGATATTACACACAATATAAATAATATATACCTTCATTTTTGAAAAAAGTAATACATTAAACAAAAAAAAAAATCATTAACTTTATGTACAAATATTAAACTGTATCAAGTAGAGTTCTTGTTGGTTGCTTAAAATTCATTTGTTTCTATTTCATTGCATTGTATTCATTTGTTTATATTCTTCATAAGTTAATCTCTGACATTTCATCTTTTCCCTAATAACTATAAAAAATTAATTATTTTCTTCACAGTGTATCTTTTTAGAAGAAATATACCATAAACGTATAGGTATAAAAATGAATTTAATGTAAATGATTTCAAGTTGCAACAGAATAAATACCATTGGAAAATAAAAAAAAAAAAAAAAAAAAGATTATGTTTTCTTATGCATTTTAAAGAGCAACAATGATTTTTTTTTTTTAAATTAAAATATGTGCAAGTTGTCACAGAAAATTTTATGAATTTCTATAGTCATCTATGATGATAAAAAGAAAATGTGTATGATGAAGCATTTCTAAAGTATTCATGAAAACCAAAATAAGGCAATAAATTTATATGGAACAAATTATATTTAAATTGTGCAGTTCCAACCTTTTATCTAACAGCTACGTGTGTAGGAATCTCGTGAACACTTAAATGAATAATCGCTTTATGTCAGAAACAGATATGTAAAACTCAAGAAAGGTTAATTACCCTTTATTTCTCAAAATCAGAATTTTACAGATGGTCCCTTTCTCAGGAGGTACATCAAAGCTTCTACTTGGGCTTGAACTTAAAGTAATAAGAAATAAACTTAACTAATGCTAACTAAAAGATATAGCCGAAGCTATGAAGAAATTTCTAAGCAGTTGGTCCCTAAATATCAACTAAGCTGGCGAAGTTATCATGGACCTGAAATACGGCCGAGCGTAGTAATAGCTTAGAGAGAGAGTAGCCAAAAGACGGACACTGACTAGTCAGAATTTAAGGCTCTCTAAATGTTAGAGACAACCACTGTTAGTCTAAGTCAGTGGAACTTAGACTTAAATACCGCTCTTACTCATTTGCATTAACCATAATTCTAAAAACACATTCTGCTAGGAAATTTTAAGCTGAAATTAGGAGGGACAGGAAAATGGCCTAAACTAAAGGCAACTGTTAAAAACTTAGGATAAACCTTACAACATAATGCAAAAAAGCATTTCACGAAAAGACTTTTTCTTGATAAAACTTAGATAATTATATTTTATAAATCAAGAAAACATTTTATTATTAAAATTGCTTTGTTTGTCAAAAGAGAAGAATTGTGATCTTATACTAGCAAACTTTTCATTTTAAATTTATACTACTGGATACAAATATAAGTTTGATAATATCTTCTTAAGCATTCAAAAGTTTAATGTAAATGACTTCAAGTTGCAACAGAATAAATACTATTGCAAAAAATAAAGATTATGTTTTCTTAGGCATTTTAAAGAGCAACAAATCAAAGAAACTATTAACCTTTTAACTGTCAAGTTATTTTGATGATTTGGGTGCATAAATTGCCAATTTTGTTTATCTCAAAAATGAAATGTTTGCCTCGCAGTCAAAAAATAAATAAAATAAAATAAAAATAATAATAAAAAAAATTAATAAATAAATAAAAAAAAATAAATAAAATAAATAAAATAAAAAAAATGCAGTGCACGTTGAACTTTAACCTCTATCCTTTGAAACCTTCAGTAAAATGCTGCCATCTGCTGAACTGAAGCTGAAATAAAATTCTCATGATATATATTCGGGTATAACAATACGATGCGCTCAAAAAAAAAAAAAAAAAAAAAAAAAAAAAAAAAAAATTAGCCCGAGTAATATTCGGGCGTGACATTTTAGAATACCAGTGCTCGGGCATGACAGTTAAAAGGTTAAGTCATGGGCAAAGATAAAATGTTTACAAACCATACAAAGAAGCATGAATCCAACCATCTCAGAATAAATATTCTAACATTATGTAAATATATACATAAGTACAGCAAGAAATAAGAGATCTGAATTATGAAACAATACCAATTGACAAAGTAAGTACAAATAAAAGTACAGCTCAATACCCTGATGAAATGTCCAACAGGAAGAGATATAATTATGGACTGGCAGTAACTGACACTATTGTAAAAAATTCAAGCAAACAACTTGATTACAAAGCAATCATAATTTAATACTGGTTGAAGATGGACTACAACATCTAGTGCAGTCATCTTTTCTGACCATTTTTTCTAAACTGCAAGACAGTGAAGAACAAAAATAATAAATTACATCTTTTATTTATTCTATACATACCTTCTAATAAAAGTATGAAATTATTAGAATTTCTGGTAGTGTGGGCACAAAGACTGCAGACAGTAGTAGCCTAGTATGTTGCAATACATCATACTTCAAATCTTTAAAAAAGTTCCAACTACAGTAACTGATTGATGGCAGTCACTGTACTAGTGTTTAAGCAAACTATGGCCTAGATGTGCTCAATCAGTGAAAGACTGTGCAAGGATAACACATAATGCAATACTCTAATGATAAATTTCGAAAGTGTCACCACATGTGGATACAGTTCATGATGCTACATGCAAAAGCGAATTTCATCTAGAAAGATATAATGTACTGCCCTTCAGGAATGTATGCACATCATTGAATGTACCATTATAGCCACAGATGCCTGCATTTACCATCAAAATTACATGAAGCTGCCTTGCAAACTGTCCACAATATCACAGCACATGTGCAAATACTTATTCTTGTTCCGTATATTCTTAATTCCTGAACTAGGATATGTGATGCATGGAATATGGACATAAGATCTGTCCTTTATGCATTGATATCTTGTGGTGGCTATGATCCTGCAGTTCACTCCATGCCGTTTCTGGAGCCACTGATTTCATATTTATAGGACAGTAACTGGATTTCCAACAATGTCAGCACATTTTCACTTAAGATACATTGTAGTCACAGTACACTATGATCATATTTACACACATGCTGGTTTATAAGGCATATCTAGATCCTTAAACAAATAAAAATTTCTGTAATGCACAACAGGTAAACGCACTACAATATCAAAATACAGACTTTCAGCTTCCCAGCATTGCCATTGCCATTTGCTGACATAGACATGCAGTTAGAAGTGACATTATTGCTAAATCACATTTTCTGTTTCAATAACTTGCTAATTTTTTACCACCTATCATTAAATATGTAAAATTGTATCTCCAATATAGTTGTCTTTCAGCAGTTATCAGAACCGTATATTCTATGAAAATAGCCTCATAATATGCACCATTGTTTCTAATGAACTTCTTCATATATTTATTTGCAGTTTTACAAAGGAATACCCCTTCAAAAAGTAATTTTGTACTTTTCAAACATTTCTGTGATAACAACCAGTTTGTTGCCAAATTATGCAGTCCTTGAAGGGGGGGGGAGATGATCGCAACCAAATAATAAACTCCAAATTTGCCATAAAAATTTAAAAAAAAAAAAACAAAGAGAGAGAGAGAGAGAGAGATTAGAAAAACATGAAAATTAGGCAACATCAAAAAAGAATAAATTCTCATGTGAATACTAACAATGCAGTACCATTTCAATAGGAAATTTTATTTCAGACTCTTAAATAAATTTGGCAAACTTAATATTTAATGCAGTAATTTTTAAAACTTTTCTCATGATAAATATTCTTCCATGATTAAGTCCTAGAAGTTTTAGGTATGACTGAAGTAAACAACTTCTTGACTAATACAGCAATTTTGTTTTATTTAAACCTCAGCCGGAGGGGCTGGCGTATGGTACAATTTCAGAGGGGTGGAGTATGAAGGATGGCAGGTCATTTTTCGAGCCTCTGCTTCATATTTGAAACTATTTAATCTTATAAATTGCATTAATAAAATGATTTGTCATAGAAAAAAGGATATTAGAAAAAGAATAAAAAAAAAAGCAGTAAAGATGGAAATTATGAATTTTTAATTAATTAAAAAAATGGAATGCACTGGAAATGTAATGTATGCTATGTTATTTTATGTATTAAAATTATAAGATCATAAATCAAATTTACAAATTATACATATTCTATAAAGAAAAGTTTGGTAACATTTCACAAATGAAAAAATTAAAAACCTTTTGCTACTTTAATCCTCTTCAGATTGTCACTGTTCACTGCGGTAGGGTTTGCAAAGTTGTATTATCTTGCCCAGATGATTTTTGCAGGTAAACTTAGAACACTCAGAACATTTTATGGTAGTATAATTATTCTTCATTCTACCACATTCAGTGCAACGTGTTTTTGATCTTTTTTGCAGATGCTTCCTTGTCCTTTTCGGCCATCTTGTCCGTTCTGTTGTTACCAACCTTCTAATAATAGCTTTGGAATGTGAGAGGAAAAATGGCATTTTAGATGAATCTGAAGATGTGGTTTCATCAAAGACGTAACTAGATTTTTCAAAAAATATCTTCTGAACTTGATGGCTGCATCAGGTTTGGTGAAGTTCAAGAGCACTTGCAAATTTAAGCCGCTATGTTTAGCAGTGCAAAAA